GCTACTTGCCGTGTCCAGACCTGAACATCCGGCCACCCAATGCTTTGTTGTCTGTAAACTCGTGATGCCCTCACCGTGTACTCGCCAAGCCGCTCCCGCGCTTCGTCCTCTGAGAACACAGGGCGCACGGTCTTCCCAACTAGGGTGATGTACGCGTACAGGCGCGCCCGGATCTTGCATCATTACGCGTCGTGTTTAGACGAAGGGCGCGCAACGTCCGCTCTGAAGACGTGTAGACGCGGTCCCGTGGGCTGCGTCCATACGCGCGATACGTATGATGCGTTCTCGTTCTATTGCTTGAGAGTAAGCCGTGTCTGCTTATGACGCTCTCAGCCGCCGAGCTATGCGTACGCCGTTAGCACGGAGCGCAGATGGATTGGGAATCAGCGCATCTTTCATCTTACAGCGACTATGTGTCTGCTGGACTGTTGGATTATGTGTAAGCGGCTGGCGAGGCGCTCATCGAGCTGTAGTGGTGAGCAGAAGGTGTAATGGAGTGTATATGCGCGCTTTTGTGAGAAGCTGGGCCGGTATTGGCTCATAACTCGCAGCTCGACAAAGATACAGCCGAAATGGGCAGCCTTCCGATGCACATGCATGAGACCGGGGAGCACAGACGGCCTTCTCCCCGACTGGCAGACGCGTCGAGATCATGTTCACGCTGGGCGCTAAACAACCCGCAGCTCGGAATCGCTCACATACCCGAGTCACTATTGTGTTGACTTGCGTGTATAGACCGGTGGAGCACTCATCGCATAATATGTGTTCACTGGACGCTACCCAGTACGCTTGCGGCGCGGTAGCTGTGGAAGCATGTTGGCCTCTACGGACCCCTTGACGCAATCCGGACTTCTTCAAGGTCGAGTCCCTTCCCTCGTAGCAGCGCACACGACCACAGTGGCCCGGCCTCGTTCCGCGCACAAGACCCTCACACAAGACCGGCCCGCGCCTCCATACGCGCCTACAATTCATACAGGCTCCTTGTACTCCAGCGATCGCGACGATTGGGAGCAGGAGACATAGCTACCCCGCGCTTGATCCTTGGTTACTTCATCCGAGGCTCCTCTATGGAAATCTTCCCAACGTGTCCGACGCCTTGCGCGGACGACCTCGCCGTCACCTTCTGACCGAAGTGGGCAGAAAGGTACCCAGTAGCTATACTGCTGCTACGGCGAGGCTGGCATTCAGGGTGCGAACACATCACCAGTGAGCTCACTCGGGATCTGCTGACAAGATTTACCTATCTTCTTGGTCCAGAACCAGCGTTAAATGAAATCGTCTTACGAACAAGGCGCTCGTCGAGGTCTGTTGTCTTCGCCTACACGCATCTGCGCATCGAAGTGCAGGGCTCATCTATCGCCCGACTCGGCATAGGACCATCGATGGCGAAGTCGGAAGACACTAGTCGATCGACAAAGACAACGTGCAGGACCTCGCCGACGCCTTGTTCTGCGCGTGGTGGCGTGTCTTCCACAGCAGAAGCAAAGGTCCTTGCGGCTGTGATCTGTCGTTGCTGGATGCATCGGCCGCCGGGTACACCGTCCCGCTCGCTCCTTCTCGAAGTCCGACAGGCCCACCGTACTCGAGGCGATTGTTAGGCGATTAGATGGGTTAGATATGTCCAAGCGCGTTCGAACTCTGCGAGACGGACAAGTGATTTCATCTCCTGTGTGGACGTTCTCATTTCTGCCCGATGTAGCCATACCAATGTGTATGCGATGCCTTCGCGGTCATAGGAGACCAACTTGATGATGTATGCGTTCTCACTCATAACGAAAGCAGGTCAAATGCGCTTACACGTCTCTTCAACTATGTAACGGTCAAGAACAAGCGGGACTTGCAAGCGCTTGATCGCTGGTCTCGACTGGTAAGCCATACTCCCGGAAACGAAAGCGTCTATCATAGACGCTCGGTTGCAAAGGCTTTCGCATCCTCGCCAGGAAGAGAGGCGGCGGCTAGCGAACTCGATACAACGCTCGTCCGAGACAGGTACTGAAGGGGCGGAGTTGAGATGAATTAATCAAGAGGGGCCTAGTGGCTCATCAGTCCCTCGAGGCGCCCTTGTCCTCTGCGCCTACACCCCTTTTGAGTGAAGGGTCGTTGCCGTGTCTTGAAGGGGTGGGGTACGAAACTGGTGAAATAACCAGGGTCACTAACAAGGCTCCATACGCAACCCTGGTTAAAGCCTGATATATTGTTATTTGAGTGCCAGACATAGAATTTATTGCGAGATGGAGGGTTCCATCGTGACTGCCGGCCGTGGTGAGATGTGAGCGTGTATTCAGAATAGTGAGTTAGGCATCGGAAGAACGCCCTCGAACGCCCACTGACTAGACGGCCGGTTTCCGAGACGCGAGTGGTCAGCCCAAAGGCCGAGCATGGCAGACCTAGATCGCGACTGAACGGGCCAGATCGGTGCGTCTATGGTGGCTTCGATGAGTAGGATGTTCGAGATCATTGACGCTAGACGTTCACCAGACTATATGAAGTAACTTTGAACCAGATAGCACAACGATGACATGGGTTTGAGGCATCGGGTGCGATCGCTGAACAACCCCGTATCTTGTGCGCCTATCGACCTTCAACTTCGCGCAGATGAACCCTTGACGCTCATATACCGGCTCCATGTCGAGGGGACGCTATATGACGCACAGGGAAGAGTTGATATCTGGCCACGCCATTTGACCCGTGATCGTTCATGAGACGATCTTGTACATCTGTACGGAACGATAATGAGTAGAGGCTGTCAAGAGCGGATGGCGAGGTGGGTCATGACTGCTGGTAATTCCTTTTCAGTCGTAGCGAAGGTTGACGAGCGCACTCGTAGGGTAATGAGTCGCGTCAAAGATTGAATTGGAGAGCTTGTGGGTGCGCACAGACAGCGTCCATGCATACATCGTCGTCGTCGTCGTCGAGAGCAAGCGCGGCGGCAAAATCGTCGGGAGTGAGTCCACGTGAATTGCGTTCCCACGCAATTTGCCTCGCTCGGACATGAGCGCGTCCTCGGGTTGCTTTTGCCCGTCATGCATCGCACATTACCTATCTACGCACTGCTCTTCATCATGGGATGCCAAGAGTATGGCTACGTGTGGCAGCTGGATTGCGGTATACCTTATACGACTGGATACCTCTCATCCGAATTCTGAACCTGCCTTGAATTCTGGTCCTCACCTTCTCGTGCACGTACTATCGTTTATTGTGTCGCTACTTGTACCCAAGCATTGGTACGTGCACGAAGTCTGGCTGAATGTAAGACGCTGTGCTCAGGTAGGGAAGGCTACTCAGCCGGATCGACCATGGTCCTCGTAGCAATACGATCTTTGTGTCAAGGATGGGTTTGCGGAGTCTCGGTAGATCAGTAGGGGCATATCATCTCATGTGGCGATACTACCCGCATCTATTCATACAGTCAGCCCTGCCATTGGAACAGCATCAACTGGATCGAACTGCCTTTGTCGCTCTTTGCATACACGCCGCATACGCGTGTATTGCCTTTTTGGTGTTACACTCGCTGCACGCTGCACGCTAACGCCCATCTCCTACATCATCGTATCATCTCCCGTGCATCACTGACGCAGTGCCCATCTGCTTTGTTTACGCCAGCGCTGGTTCATCTCGCCTCGTTGCCAGTGCGCTTATCACGCATCATCGATGCATCCGGAGTGTTCGCACTTGCACGCTGCAACATCTCCTCCCAAAGCCGGTGCTCTCGCCTTGCACGCCGCGAGTGGGCCGCATACTAACCCCGTACGCCAGTGCTTGCTTCCACGACAGTGACGACGTGCTTCGATTCACGCAACAGTATTCCGAGACCACGTTCTTAACCCGTGCGAGTGCCGCGCTCGATGGAGAAGGTCCTGCCCTTTCACAAGCTTGTGACCGTTGGACGCGCGATTCCCGGCGATATTGGGCTGCGCGCCTATGCGCTTTAACCAAATACCTCGACTACTAGTACACTACCCTTGTGCACTCCAGTCCGAGTCGGGAGCAGGTGCGTCGCCCAAGTTTGTTGCCCTTTGAATCCTTTGCCTCACGCTTGTCAACAGGGTCTACGGTCTACAGCTCATCTGCTTCTCCCGCCGGCTGCAGTGTGTGATATACTCTCATGTACAACTCTGCCTGCGTCTCAGAATATGATGATGAGAGTAGAATCTCGCCGTTCCGCTCTTCTCTATATGGGCGCGTGTTTACCTGCCGAGGCGCATATCACCGTGATGCCCACTGGGCTTATCTATGATCACGCACCCGCGCACTTCCGCAACTCTGACTTCCGAGCGGTACTGTACTACAACTCAGTCAGCCCTGGGTGGTTGTGATGTTGTCAAGTCTACTTACTTCCAATAGGCAACTGTTGAGGTGTTTCGAACTTTAGATGTCGACTTCTTCACGCGCTACCCCAAGTCTGCAGATGCGCCGAAAGCTCAGCAATCGTACTTGCTGCAGTCATCGAGATCGCAGTCACTTCTGTCGCATCGCGCTTTAGGCTCGTGCCCCCTCGGGTAAGGTGTGTGAAGACTCCGACGTCGATCTCCTTCGACGGCTTCGCGAGGTGAATTAGCGCAGGTAAGGATCGCCATCCGCACTCTCTCGCTGCATGCGTAGATGTCGTCTTGTTGTCTCGTCCATCTCCCTATGGCCATATACACTGCGTATACCACCCGCTCAAGGGTCAACGTCCGACACCGATGGAGCACCTCAAACGCCGCGGCTTCTTGGTCTTCGTCGTCTTCTCAACGCTCTCCAGCGTCTGGTGTCGCATAAGCGCAAAACGGGCTATCGGAATCGGAGCTTGCGCACTCCCGGTCTCTGCGCTTCAAAGCGATTGGAGATATGTGTTGGGTTTGAGCCGCATCGAAGGTTAAGTCCAGATTGTAGCGCTGTGAGGAGCAAGCGCCATGTACCCGGGTTCCTACAGCTTTCAGGTGGAGGATCCGAATCTTTGGGTCAATGCACAATCACAAAGTCAATCCCATCGTCATGCTCGAGGTACCATACATGATTCAAAGCTTTGCAAACGCAAGCACCTCCTCCGAATACTTCTTGCTTTTAACTTTATCCAAGTCCGCACGCGTAATACCCCGGCACTCATACGCATGGTTGTACCCCACCCTACAACAAGGTCAGCACCATGCATATACACGGAACGGTAGAGAGAGGACGTACCGATCACGCCCATCAGGCTTCCCTCCCTCCTTGTAAAACTCCGGCCGTCGCAGCAGACTGACGACGACGGCCCCACCAAGCCCGACGTTATGCACCAGACCGTATTTCCCGCGTTTTTCGGGCGTATCAAAGAGGCCTGGTGCTTGGAGGGGTCCGGCCCAGTTACGAAGTTGCACTGTACGCGGTATCCGTCAGCTTGAGAACACGTACATGACACGGTAAGCGTACTGGTGATGTAGAAGTGCATCCCCAACCCCGTCGCACCTAGCGGATGCCCCTTCGCCTCCAGCCCCCCACTCGGATTAACAACATACTTTCCCCCATACGTATTATCCCCCCTCTCCACCATCCTATGCGCCTCTCCCTCCCCGCAAAGTCCCAGCGCAGGATACATGATCAGCTCGTTCGCCGCGAAGCAGTCGTGCAACTCTACGACGCCTACGTCGGCGGGCGTTGCGTGCGCTTGGGCGAAGACGAGTTGGGCTGCGCGCGCGGTCATGGAGTAGCCTACGACGGACATTGCGTCGAGGCCGGTGAAGGCGTCGGGCGTGTCGGTTGCGAGGGCTTGGGAGACGATTTCGATGGATTGGTTTTCGAGGTTGTGGGCGTGGACGAAGGATTCGGAGGCAACGATGTTGCATGCTGCGCCGTCCTGAATGAGGCCTCAGTACAGGTTGTACGAAGAGTGAGCAGGAAAATACGCACAGACGTCGGGCTACACATAAACTTCGTCAAGTTGTTCGTGATCTTCGGTGCATTCGCTACCTGCTCCTCCGTCCATCCATTCCGGAACTGGCTACACCTAGCATTAGCCTACATCCCTCGCGTTGCACAGACAAACACACCTGTATGGGTTCTTCACACTATGCTTATGATTCTTCGCCGCAATCTTCGCCAAATGACTCGCATCTCCACCAAACCGATTGAAATACTCCTGCGCGCCATTATCGAACATCCGCGGCGCATTCGGCCCCTTGTTTGCCCCCAACCTCTCCTCAGCCCTCGCATTCGCCGCTCCCAGCGCCAACCCCGGCGGCGGTCGATCATTCCAAATTGTCCCCAGACTCCCCGGCCTCATGCGCTCGAAGCCCAGCGCGAGCGTGCAGTCCGCGAGACCCGCGCGTACGAGGTTCGCCGCGTTGTAGAGCGCGGTGGAGCCGGTGCTGCAGTTGTTGTTTACGTTCGTTATTGGGATGCCTGGGGGGTATAGGTGAGCACGAGAGTACTGTAGCTTGGGTTGGGGGTGTCGCGAGTTGGGAGTGCGAGAGGTGAGAGGTGCAAGGTGGGATGAGAGGTGAGAGGTGAGAGAAGAAACGTACCGGTCAGACCAAGCCCATAAAGCGCTGACTGCCCGCACGTACTATCGCCATACACGTACCCGACGTATGCATGTTCGACATCGTCGTACGTGATGCCCGCATCGAGCAGCGCCTTGGTCGCCGCTTCCAGCGCCATCTACAACACACGCGCCATATCAATATGCGGTGAGCAAGCCAGAGGTGAAAAAGGTAGGCGAGGATGATGGAGAGGATGGAGACGTACGTCGTTCGTAGTACGCGTCCCGCGCGGCTTGATGAAGGCCGTACATCCAACGCCGATGATGAAGACGCGCTCTTGCTTGCGCTTGTTGCTGCTCATAATGGGCTCTGAAGCTGGTCAGTGCTGAAGACGATGGAGGTCAGAGACAAGATGCGTGAAGTGAGAAGCAGTGGCGAGTCCGGGGTAGAACAGTATCCGAACCGGCTAGCGCCCTTCCCCACACCGAATCACGTTCGCAGATGGGAATCGGTCTTCTGACCTCTACGCCACAGCGTTGTAACACGTTCTGACACGTATATTCGGATATCCGAGCTTGGCTGGAATACGCAGAGAAGCGATATGCATTGCAGTTGCGGCGGTGACATGGATCAAAACAGTATCGGAAATACGAAGCGCACGGTACTACGGTATCATAACTGAGACCCATCCAACGTCTACTCGGAGTCATCATCGTCCTCAGCTTGGTCGAGCCACTATTGCAACCATCAGCACCATGCAGCAATACACATAGAGAAGCGTTACGCACCTCGAGGAACGGCTGGCTAGCCTTCCGAACCATCTTGCTCGTCTCCTTGTCCACGTACTTCTTCGAGACGTGGGTGCCCCACGTCTTGACCACGTCCTCATCGAGCACGTCGGCCTGGTAGAAGGCCATAAGAATCTTGGGCACGGCGGGCACAAGATCCGGGCAGTCAAGGCCGGCGAGACGCTCAATACCACCTAGGAGCGACTTCTGGTGTTTCTCGCTAGTAACGAGCTGTGGCGAAGCGTGAGAAAAGATAGTATAGAGGTAAAAATGAGAGAACACGAACCTTGGCGAAGACCGGGAGGTACTTGGGGATCTCCTTAAGCGCGTTGGCGGTGAAGAGGCTCTGGGAGAGAACGAGCACAGCCTTGTGCTTCTTCTCGATGCCCAGCTCCTGCACCTTCTTGACGACCTCGATAGGCTCTACACCGCGATTCTCGATAGCCCACGCCTGGAGAATACCGTACGGGCTGTTCGCGCCGTCATCGTCGTCGTCGTCATCGCCTGCCGCCACAGCCAAGTCGGCCATACCGGCGCCGAGTTTCTCCATGCGCGCCTTGACGGCCTCGGGCGACGTATCGGCCGACCAGTCCTCCTTCGCGAGCGCTGTGTCCTGGCTAAGCTCCGCGGCTTCCGACTTGATACGCTTGGTGAGCTCATCGTCGCTGCCCGCGTCCTCGCCACCGTCCTCGGCATCTCCCTCGCCGGCGGCGCCACCCTCCGCGGGCGGCGCGCCGCCGGTAGACGGGCCTTCCGCGTGACCGCCCTTCTTGTTCTTCGTCTTCTTCGGCGGGTTCTTGACGATGTACGTCGTGAGCTTGTGGCGCATGTCGACATTGGAGCGCACACCGCACGCCTTGCAGTCGCGCACGATCATATCGCCCTTGAGCAGAATAAGATCCGTCTCGGGGTTCTTGCAGCTGCCGCACAGCACGAATTTGTCGATGAACCCGTCGAGCAGCTCGCGCAGACGGTTGGCGTCATGTGCGCCGTTGACGATGTAGCGGTCGTTCTTCTCGTCCACGCTCGTCTGCGCGCCGAGCTCGGACCCGAAGAATTTGGTCGGGTACGTCGGCGGGCGGGAGAGCGCACGTGCGACGTCGGACATGTTGGGCAGGACGGTCTTGATACCGTTGCCCTTGCCTTCGATCTTCGTCAGCAGGACGGGCATGCTGTACAACAGATGATTAGGGGCGCTTAGATGGGATTCGTGACGTGTCGACGTACCGGTAGCGGTAGAACTTGTCGTCCACGTCGCGGCGGATGTTAACGATACCAGCAGCCATATTGGGCAGATTTTCAGCGCTATACACTCGTCAGTCTATATAAACACTATTTGTGAGGAAAGAAACGTACAGAAGAGTATATGTTCGGATGGAGGACGCGCGCTAAATTCTCAAAGTGCGTGGGTGGCCGTAGCATGAACCTTCTGCCGTCACAGAAGATCAAAGATATAGAGGTAGAGGAGAAAGACGAAATCGTGGGCGAGCGCAGGGAGCTGGTCGGCCAGGCGAAGAGGCGAGGAGGTGGTGGTCGGGATTCAAGGCGCTGATGCCGAGGACGCGAGTCGTATGTTCCGTCGGCTACTCCCGGCCACGCCCTTTCCTGCGATCCACTCCAGTTCCTTCCTACACTCACCCACGCGAATCGGCGACTCCGGCGGGAGCGTCAGGAATGAGATCAGTGCGCTTGTGCCTCGATGCGGTACGCAAATGTCTCTCGCAGTGCTGGAACGTTCGCCACGCGGCATCCAGACGCCCGAGGGAAGCCCGAAGCCAGAACAAGGCGCATCTCTCCTTCCAACCACCATGACGGACTTGCACCCCGCCCTCATCGACCGCCTGCCAGCCGAACTTCTTGAGAAGATATTCATCTTGACCCATGCACACGGTAGTCGTCCCGTAAGAGCTCCCTCAGCGGCAAGTCTCAGTCAAGTGTGCCGCAGATGGCGAGAGATCTCTCTCGGTTCAGGCTGTCGTTGCCTCTGGTCGAGCGCCCTGCCCTATCGCAGTCCTGAGTGGACAGAACTCTGCCTCAAGCGTTGCGGGTCTACCCCACCCAATCTGAACCTCGTCTACGATAAGACAACCATAGGCGACGCGGGTTACCAAGCGTCCGTGTCACTAGCACTGGCGCCGCTCGATCGAGCACACTCCTTGAGGCTTACGGTGGAAAGCGATCTTACCGCAGATGTTATCGTAAGCCTTGATAATGCATTCAAAAATCTGTCACAAGCCGGCACTCCGTCGCTCGACCTTTCCGAAATATCCGTCGTGTTCGGGGAGAACCCAGCGGCGAGCATAGGCTATGTGAGCCATAGAGTCATACTCCATCTATTAGGCTCTCAATTGCCCCCGTTCTCGCGCTTGCGCACCCTCTCACTCATACGCTGCCGCCACCGCCACCTCCCATCCTCCTCAAATCTTTTCAGTATCTCTCTTCGAAGCCTTACTCTACATGACACGCGGTTCTGGCGTACCATCGACGGCATGATGCGGCTCTTACAGAACATCCCCTTCCTCGAGACCCTCGAGATCAAGAGCGCCTCAGAACAGTTCAACTCACTGCCCTCAACCCCTCCCGCACCGCGATCCATACCGTTCCCGAACATGAGAAGGCTTCTTCTCGAGGGTTCGTGGCAGGAGAACATCGTGATCTTCAGCTGGCTGGCGATACCGCCCACCGCCCACCTCACCATCGGCTCCAACAACGACGCATACCCCGACTTCGATCCTTCAAACAGCGCCTTGTTCGAATCGGCGGCTGAGGTATTCCGCGCGCACTTTGCCTCGGCGCTCTCGCGCGGGGCGCACTACGACGAACCGGCGATCGCGGCGGACTTCGAGATGTTCACTGTCAGTGCATCGCCCGCGTCTGCGACCGCCGAGACCGCAGATCATACAGTCGGCACGGAGCACTGCGATCTTCTACCGGCTCACCTTCAGCTATCTGTACCCTGGACGGACGACCCGGACGTTCGACAACGTCTGCTGAACATCTTCAGCACTCTCCCCATCTTCACCATGGCTCGAACCCTCCACCTCGATCCGTTCTTGTGGCAATACTATCCATCTATGATCGCGGTGTACACCAACGTTCGCTCGCTCAAGCTCGAGTCGAGCGTCGAGGCGTCCTTGGACGATCACGGAATCGCCGAGCAGGGCGCGCTCTTCCCTGCGCTGACGTGCGTCTGCTTTATCGGCGTTGACTTGAGCGCTGAGGTGCTGCCGAGACTCGTTGACCAGCTGCTCGTAACGCACAGCGCGTTGCAGGACGTCGGATTCTCCGGATGCAGGCTTGGAGGGAAGGTTCTCGTAAAGAGATCTGTCGAGGAAGCGGCACAGCGCTTCCAGGAGCGTGGCATCACAACATCAGTCACGAATATGGGGTAGTCAGTCTGGTGTTCGAGGGAAGCGAACATTTTGGAGACCCGGATTGAACGCGGATGTGCATCGAGTGTACGATACGAACATGTAGTTGCGATAGCCAGATACCAATGTATTCAGGACCTCCGAGGCCAGTCCTCGAGTAGGTATAAGGGACATGCACATCGTCACTAGTCGAGGCCTGGTACTGAGAGCTTTGCGAAGAGAAACGCCACACGTAGGCGATGAGCCAGAAGTATAACTTCATATCTTCCACATACTGTCAAGTTTGGGCGCAAGCTAGACGATGGGCGCGTGGGACGGCTCGCCGCGCGGTTGAGTCGTGTTTGCTACGTGGGTGTCCCACGATCCCACTTGCCGCGGCGCGCAAAGAGACCCTGTCCTCCAACCAACATCATGGCTCTATGCAATATCTTTTGGTGGCTCAAGAAGCCGCGATCCTCCGCTCCTATGCCGGACTTGCCATTGCAAATAGTTGACGCGGCTGTACTGCCGCCGTCGATCGCTGGTACGCGCGTCTCACTCAAAGTCAGAACAGATATTCATTGATGTGATCCCAAAGATGATCCTCCTCCACCGAAGGAAACTCGGAACGGTACGCTTCGATCCAATGCACAACCTATAACGCTCTTCTCATGCACTACAGACTTTGAGATAGCGCTCGGTCGATTGGCCTCAACCAGTTGGAACGGCTTCAAAGTCCTCATCAAAGTCCTTCACGAAGCGTCGGGCGCATTCCCGCCGCTTGACGCGACAGTAGGAGGGCTTGTCGCGTTGCTAGATATATACGACGTACGTACTCGCCAATTGTCGACCAACAATCAAGCTGACCTTCCATTCATGCGTTAGCGCACGAAAGATAACTACGGCTGGATGAATGAAACTATGCAGCGCATCGATCGCTTGCTCGTTATCTTAGCCAAGCGCTTGGAGGGGGAGAAGGACAGTACGTCTTCTCCGGTGACAGAGGGATATGTCGCGTAAGCACACGTGCCCTTTCCTGCAAGAAGTATGCATTGACACATGACGCTAGAACTTTGCAGGAGGAGTTTGTGAAGATTCAGGGACTAAGCGCCAGGTCTGGATTCTCCCGAGCGGTCGCAAGCGAAGATGATGCGGCTGAACTGAAGAGATGCTGTGATGCAATAGCGAATACGATGCTAGAACTACAGGTATGTCTCTCTACTTCTAGCACAGGCGTGCACCTGGTCTTACCGTATGCCAAGTTGGAACTAGGTCTGTCGGTGGAAAGGAACACTCGTGTTCTTATTCAGGTGTGCAACCTACCGTCCTGGGATGAGCGTCTCGCTGAGACTTGGTTTCGTAGGAGAAGGTCTTGCAAGATCTTCCTCGGGCACGGGCCGCATCGTTCACAGCTGCCACCTCTGCTGGTGTATCCCGACGCAGTTGTACCGCAGGGACGCGCATACGTATCCTGCGAGACATACTTGACTGGGTACACGACCAGGATCCAGAATCCCCCGCTATATTTTGGCTCTCTGGCTTGGCTGGTCAGGGAAAGACTACGATTGCCCATACAATCTGTGAACGTCTGGAAGCTGATACAAAGACTGCTTCAGTAATCTCTTTCTTCTGCTCTCGTCAACTGGACACTCGCGGCGAGGCGGTGTTAGTCTCCACCCTCGCATTTGAGCTTGCTGAAGCATCTGCGTCTTTTGCTGTGGAACTCGTTAACGCTCTCAGACAAGACCACGATCTCGGACAGCAAAGGATCGAAGTTCAGATGAAGAAGCTCCTTGTTGGCCCATGGGCGAAGAGCACTAGTCATCGCGACGATTTGCCCCCGATCTTGATCATCGTCGATGCGTTGGATGAGAACGACGTTGGTGTCAGATTTGCCGAGCTTCTTCTTTCAACTCTAGGGGCCTGTCCGCTACCGGGCCTCCGTTTCGTTCTTACGAGTCGACCTGAAATGGCTTTCGAGCATGCATTTGCTCGCAGTACATCAGTTCATGTTCGCCGTATGGACATCAATAGTATGGTGGGAACGGACGATCGCACCATTCTCGACGAAGACATATTGCACTACCTCGAGGAGGTGCTTCCTCGCCACTGCGGCACGGCCCATCTTGAAGCACTTGCTGGTGTTTCTTCGGGACTCTTCGTCTATGCCGCCACGGCTGTTGCAGCGATCAAGCCGGACCCGTATGATTCACAGAAGACTCTTCAAGAGGAGAAGGAAGAAATTGTGCTCATCACGGGATACGGCCACGCAGTAGCCAGTAGAGGCGATCGAGGTGCTATTCTCGATGGTCTTTATGAGGGGATCATATCTAAAGCATTCGGTCGCCTCTCTTCTGAGCAGAAGCAACGCAGGATGCATGTAATCTTCACGTGTATTGTCGCCTTAAGAGCCGGGCCTATAAGCAGGACTGTGCTGAGTGAACTGGCGGGTGTGGGAGAAGAACTCGCAGGGATAGTCCTTGGATCACTACAAGCTGTGTTATACACGGATCAGGAGCAACATCTACTATGCTACCACATCTCATTTGAGGAATATGTGCTAGGGAGCTTCTCAGATGCCTTTCGGAAACATTCGATGTTCCTTCTGGTCCAGCAATGTTGCAACACAATCGCACCCGTCCATGCCTCGCTGCAACTTCCGACGGTCTTGATAGTAGCGCTAAAAAACTTGCCGGAATGTGAGGTGGCATTGCCAGATGCAGTATTCTCTGTGGCAGAGTGGCTGGCCTGCCGGATGTACACTCTGGAGCGCAGAAAGGAAGCCAGATTGGGGGTTTTCCTCGACGTCTTACGTAGGGGCGATATACGCCAAAGGTGTGCAGATTATTTGGAATGGTGGCGGGAGCAAAAACAGCACGACGGCACTACTCGCGGAGAGCCCCCTGTGGGCGACACCTATTCGGATCCCCCTGTTCGAATCAAACCTATCCCAATGGAGCTTATGCAGCCATCTGACCCCGAGAATCTCGGGACGTCGCGGGCTGTTCTAGTGGGTTCCGAAACGGATGCAGGCGGAGCTCAGGGCGTGAATGATGCCAAATAGATTGTACGTGGGGCGGATAGATGAGCTGCTCGCCTTGCAAGTACCTGTCCCTTGATTTTGCGAGCGGAGCAATCAGGCTCAGTAGAGGAGGATGCGATTGGCCCTCGTAGTTATTCGGCACATTACACGTCCAGGTGTGCGATGAGACGAAAACGATGACATTGTTATTTGAGGCGTTGAAACAAAGACGTAGCTTCAACCACCGTTCTAAGAACTTAATCTGTACCGTCTTTGTGATGTACAATCAGGGCTATGATGTATAGCCGTCGATGCCCAGTCATATTGACAACCTACATGACAGAAAGTGTTCAATGGGGTCATGATAAGGTAGTTCATCTACGCGATACTTGCCTCCAACTCAACCGTCCGGTGGGAGCCGCATCAGGGGTACTGAGCGGACTGACTTCACGATTAGACATTTGATAGACTCGCTCCCCACCGACAGCCCGCTTTTTAACTTCTCCGTCAACCACTCGCCCATCCCGGGTATACCCGCCGCACCACCCGTAAGGAACACCGTGCTCGCCAACCGCGCTCTCACGTTCGGGGCAAACATCCCCAACACGTTGCCCGCCAGCGCGCCCAGCCCCGCACTATTCACGCCCGCCATACCCGGTGTAAACCACGGCTCGACAGCCCTCCACCTCTGCGTGCTGAAATGGACGCGCATATTGCCGCACGCGTCGTTTTCGGGGTATGAAGGACGGAACGTGGTGAGGAGCAAGGAGCGCGCGGTGGAGAGGGAGGCGTGGGTTTGCGTGAGGTCGACTGTGGGGTTGTGTGCGAGGAGCTTGGATTCGAGGTTTGCGAATAAGAAGAGGCCATCTTCTTCGTCGTCGAAGGGAGCTGCTGTGTTCTGGTTCGGTCATGTCAGTAGTCTGATACTGAAACATGCAATGGGGGAAACGTACGATCTTGCGATGTCTGAGTCGTCTCCGCCGAACATGTCCTTTGAGAGTACCCGACAGCAGAGGTGTGGGGTGAAGTACGAGGTAGATCTTACCTCCGTTACCCTTCCTTCACTTCTTCGGTACGTGCTCGTCTGTCGCCACGCTCGAAATACTACTCTTCATGCACACTTGAGCGGCAGCATCTATCCATTGAACCACCCTATATAACGTCAGCAGATAGCAAAGGTCGTGTTTTTAAAGAAACGCACCTCATCCGTCCGCAACTGGCCAGCCAAACCAGCAAGTGCCCCTCAGACACGCCGATATCCAGGTCGTAGACGTCATGTTCAAGCTGCGCGGCGCATCCCGCCTCGTAGCCTCGTAGTCGAACGTCTACGCGACCACGTGAGATGCGCGCCCGCCACTCAATGTTCGAGACATTCCTAGGCCTTTTGCCCTGTATGGCTTTTGGTGTGCTCAACTAACCTCATCTGCACTGTCACGCTCATTAACATTGGGCGTCATATTTCACTTCGCGTGTTAGGTACAAGGCACATACATATTCTGGTAGCAACGCTCTGAACAAGATACACTAGTGGTCTAGATGATCGTTCACGGTACAGCACGGATATCATCTACTTCGGAATAACAAGTTTGATCACTGTGCCCAACCTGTCCCATTCCGTAGACTCCCACGAGCTGTCAGAGGTGATGACAATCTCGTCCAACGGCACGCCCAATGCGGCTCTCGTGTTCACAAGATCTATGAGCGCATTGGCCCAATGGAATGCGTCGTTGAGATGGTCCTTCGGCACATGCAGGGCCAACAACATGAGGCGCGGGAAGGGATATCGAGACGGCGAGGATGTCGCAGACGGGGAAGAATAGGCATAGCAGAGAGAACCACAGAGTATACCCAAGTCCACGGAGCCGGCCGGACTTGGTCCTACCGCAACGTCTATGCGGTCCACATTGACGGCGAGAAGTAACCGCTTCCACATATCACCCGACGCGAGTGTGTCTATCACGTTCCGAGAGAAGGTAAGCTCTTTCACGTCGCGCATGTTTGTGCGATCAAGGACTTTGATGAGCTGGTACCAGATATGTGGACGGGCGGTGAGACTGACACCAAATCGTCGAGTTATACATAGTGACTTTGTGATAGCATGACCGAGCGATGGTGGGTTTAGGCATGTGACTTCTATGCTTTCGGGATTAAATACGAGTTTTTGAGCGGTGGCATGAGGGATTTCAGAGAAGCCTAGTTGACGTAAAACCCCGTCCAACGATATAGGAGAATCGTCCGCGAACAAATCACGATTTTCAACTATCGTGAAGTAGAACGAGCAGGGCGAAGATGTGCGAAGACCGGCCATGAAGTCAAGCCCGTCAACGAGGAGATCGGGGAGTGTGACATCGATGCTCAGCTCGCGCAACAAAGGAGGGAGCATGATGGTAGACCCATAATCATCGCCCGGGTCATGCGACGGCACGATGTTGTCGAAGTTGAGCTCCTTTAAGGCGGGTAAACGAGAAAGTAGAAGCTGAGTGTCTTTATACGAATGGCGGGGACCTTCTGAATAACTGAATAGAGTGAGGCTTGTCATGCTGGACGAATAGATGGGCGCGTCCCAAGGCAGACTGCAGTTTCCTAGTTCGAGCTTTGTGACGCCAGCGAGTCCCCAGGCTCGTTGCGGTAGGACCGGATTAGGTTCGCGAGGTCCAGATATCTCAACGTAGAGCTGGCGTAAGTGAGGCATCGTCTCAGGTAGGTTGCCGATGACTTCTTCTACCACATCCTGCGCCCCGGCCACGGTCAGGTCACAAGCTTGTGACAAAACACAGGAAGAAGTCCACGCGAGATAGCTGGCGTCGTCTTTGACGGCATCCTCGTCGATCTCGGCAACTTCTGGATTGAGAAAGAGTCGCATCGGATTTCCGCGGCATCGAGAAACGATGATTGGGACATAGCCGGGATGAATGTCGAGTACATCATACTCTGGTCTTGACCAGAGCATAGGATCGTTCAAGGCGACCTATAGCGGCACTTCTCGTCAGCATCTTGCGTGCGCGATACAGAGTTGCTGTTATAACGCACTTGTCTCCAAAGGCTACACACGTGAGGGATCACCATCCACCCCGAGTAAAAGACCTCGTATTCGTCATCTCCTGAACCCGTCTCAAATGTCTTTCGCCTCGGCTCCCATCCAGACTGCGCTTCCGCAAAGATCTGCGTGAGAAGCTCGGGAGGCAGGCGGCAAGGGCCGGCGCTCTGATTGCGCATGCGAGACGCCTCAAGCAGTGCTTGCCGCATGGCTTCGTACTCCGAGTCCAGGATCTGAAGATGGGACCGCCGGTCTATCCCCACCAGAGTAAGCGGAGAGAAACGCGCGCGAACGAGTGGCAGCCAAGGATATCTGTACAGCCGTCAGACCTCGGGGTTCAACCTCATCAACACCACAGCAGCAGATGAGCGTACTGATTCTCCTCCATAAGGGCTAGTCTGCTGTAGATGTGATGGGCACAGTCTTCGTACTGAGACTGATCGTGGTAGGAGCCAGAAGACGCCCGGAGCTTCCTCCCAACCTTCCATAAACGCGACCACGTGATCATCGGAATGTCCTTTTTTGGGCAGGGTATGTCTCAGTCTTGAACTCAGACGTGTTGAGAGTCAGATATAGGTCAACGCAGGTGGATTCTTAAGCAGGTCGTCTGTCACACCACGCTGCGACTGGAGGCTGTGGCACGCGTCACGGGCCGGGTGCACCAAGGCTCCTCGATCTCAGCGCACTACTCCGACTCGATCTGCCCGATGCGTTTCTTGGAATTCCAGTCTGATACGTTCGAGCAGGGGGTGTACCATCACTATACAGTACGACAAGTACGCCAACACCCAGGCTCACCCAGGTCATCGACGTTATGTCCAAGCATGTGCAAGCTGTGCAAGCAGCTGCACAACGCGTCCCGCCTCGCTGTCTACGCGACCACGTGAGACGCGCGCCCACCACCCAATGTTCGAGACAATCCAAGGCACTTGTCCCATAGGGCTTTGGCTTGCTTAAACAACCTCATCTGCTCTGTCACGCTCATTGAAATTGGGTGTCATATTTCACTTCTCGTGTTAGGTACAAGGCAAATATATATTCTGGTAGCAACGCTCTGAACAAGATACACTAGTGGTCTAGATGATCGTTCACGGTACAGCAAGGATATCATCTACTTCGGAAGAACGAGTTTAATCACTGCGCCCAACCTGTCCCATTCCGTAGACTCAAACGAGCTGTCAGAGGTGATGGCAATCTCGCCCAACGGCACGCCCAATGCGGCTCTCGTGTCCACAAGATCTATGAGCGTATTGACCCAAAGGAATGCGTCGTCGGGACGGTGCTTCGGCAGATGCAGGACCAACGACGCGAGGCGCGGGAAGGGATATTGGGATGGCGAGGATGTCGCGGAAGGGGAAGAATAGGCTTCGCAGAGAGCATTGCGGAGTATCCCCAAGTGCATGGAGCCGGTCGGATTCGGTCCTACCGCGATGTCTATGCGGTCCACATTGACGGCGAGAAGTAACCGCTTCCACATATCGCTCGACGCAAGGGTGTCTATCACACCCCAAGAAAAGGTGAGCGCTTTCACCTCGCGGGGTTTCATGCAATCAAGGACTTTGATGAGATGGTGCCATATGCGCGCATAATCGGCGCTCAGGCCCAGGTCGTAGGGAACCGATATGCATAGGGACTTTGCGACGGCATAACCTGGCGGTGGTAGGTCTAGACAGGCGACTTGTATACTGTCAAGATTGAATACGAGACTTTGAGCGGCAGGGTGAGGGTTATCAGGGAAGCCTAGTTGGCGCAAAACACCGTCTAGCGAGCTGGGAGGATTATCCGGATCCGTGAACAAGTTGTGATTCCCGCGAATCGTGAAGTCGAACGAACATGGCGAAGATGCGCGGACACCGGCCATGAGAGCGAGCCCATCACCGATGAGGTTCGGAAGACTGACGGCGATGCGAAGTTCGCGCAACAAAGGAGGGAGCGTGATGGTAGACCCGCCATCTTCTCCCCGGCTCTGAAACGGCACGATGTTGTACAGGTCAAGCTTCTTCAGGGCAGGGAGATGAGAAAGCATAAGCTGCGCCTCTGTGAATGAATAGCGAGGACTCCCTGTGTAACTAAATAGAGTTAGGCAAGTCATGCTGGACGAAAATATGGGCGCGTTCCAGGGCAAACTATAATTCCAGAGTTCCAGCTTCGTTACGCCAGCAAGTTCCCACGCTCGTTGCGGTAGAATCGGATTAGGTCCATGATGTGAAGAGGTCCCGATGTAGAGCTGGCGTAAGCGAGGCATGGTCTCAGGAAGGTTGGCCATGACGTCTTCTATCAGCTCATTCTCCCCAATCAAGGTCAGGTCGCAAGCTTGTGATAAAACATCAGGAAAGATCCAGGCTTGATAGCTGGCATCGTCTTTGACGGTAGTCTCGTCGATGTCAACAAGCTCAGCTAGATTGACATGTAGCCGGATAGGGTTTCCGCGACAACGAGATATGATGACGGGGACATAATCGGGATGAATGTCAATTATCTCATACTCTGGTCTTGACCAGAGCATAGGATCGTTCAAGGCGACCTACAGCGGCATTCCTCGTCAGCATCTTGCACGTGCGATACAAATTCGTTGTAACGCACTTCTCTCCAAAGGCTGCACACGTGAGTGATCGCCATCCACCCAGAATAGAAGTCCTCGTCTATGTCATCTCCTGAACTCGTCTTGAATGCCCTTCGCCTCGGCTCCCAATCAGATTGCGCTTCCGCAAAGATCTGCGTGAGGAGCTCAGGAGGGAGGCGGCAAGGGCCGGCGCTCTGATTGCGCATGCGAGACGCCACAAACAGGGCTTGACGCATGGACTCGTACTCCAAGTCCAGGGTCTGAAGATGAAACCGCCGGTCTATCCCTTCGAGAGCACTCGCGGAAAAACGCGCCCGAACCAGAGGCAGCCAAGGAGATCTTCAAACCAGTCAGTGTTCAGCCTCATCGACACCGCAGGAACAACCGAACGTACTGCTCCTCCGCCATGAAAGAGAGTCTCCAGTGGATGTGCCGAGAACCGTCTTTCTCCTGTTCTGAAAGGATCGTGGTAAGAGCCAGAAGCAGTCCGGAGCTTCCGCAGCACATCGCGTCAATAAACGCGACCACGTGACTATCTTTCCAGGGCAGGGTATCTCTTACAAATTGATGGTATTTCGAAACCGATAGCTTCCACAAACAAGAGATACACAAGCACACCAACATAATCCAAGACCACTCTACAACGAAACACTAGCATTCCAATTCCCGCCCCACCACCTCCTCACCCTCTCTCCCCCCCACTCCTCATACATCCCCCTGCTCACCCCAACCCCCCCAAACGCCGGCGTCTGCGCAAACGCCGCCATCCCCCTCCACGCGTCCGCACTCGGATCCTGCGCCCTTACCACCCTCAGCGCGCTGCCCACGGGCAAGCCGCTCCTCAGCTCCTCCGCCAATCTCTCGCCCATCCCCGGAATACCCGCCGCGCCGCCGGTGAGAAAGACTGTACTGGCAAGACGAGCGCGCACGTCCGGCGCGAACATGCCGAGGACGTTGCCCGCGAGCTCGGCCAGCCCCGCCGCGTCGACGCCCGCCATGCCCGGCGCGAACCACGGCTCGACCGCTCTCCACCTCTCCGTGCTCAGATGGATGCGCATGGCGCCGCGCGCGTCGTCTTCGTTGTAGAGTGGGCGGAACGTGCTGAGGAGGAGGGAGCGCGCGGTGGAGAGGGATGCGTGCGTTTGGGTGGGGGTGAATGTCGGGTCGTGCGCGAGGAGCTTGGATTCGAGCGTGGCGAGGGTCGTGAGGTCGTCTTCTTCGTCGGAGGAGGGGGCCGCTGTGTTCTGTGTGCCCGTATCGTATCAGTAGCTGATATGTAAGAAGGGTGAATGAGACGTACGATTTTGCGGTAGATCGCCCAGTCCGAGTCGTCCGCGCCGAACATGTCCTCTGCGGACACTGTTAGCGAGAGACGGGTTCAAGTATGAGGCGGGTCTCACCTCCGTTTCCCTTCCTCCGCTTCTTCGGTACGCGCTCGTCAGCCGCCAAGCTCGCAATGCTCTTCATGCGCGCTTGAGCGGCCGCAGACTTGCGATCGCCGAGCGCCGCACGTCGGCGGTTTCGTTCCTTTATCTTGTTCATGATGCTCTGCAAAGCGTCAGCGCATATACGTAGTTCTATATGTTGAGAGTCACCTCGTGCTCCGCGCGCAACTTGCCCGCCCAGCCCGCGAGATCGCGCTCGCGCTCCTCAGCCTCAGCGCGCTCCTTCGCCTCCACCTCCTCCCGTTCGCGTTCCTTCTCCTTGCGCGCTCTCACGCGCGCCTCGTACCCGGCCTTCATAAGCTTCTGCCTCCTCTTCTCCTTCAGCCCCTCCTCATCGAGCTCCGCATCGGGCGTATCGACTAATGGGAACGACGGCTCGCCCTGCACATCCTCGTCCATAGGCTCCCCTTGCATATCCTTCTTCCTCGCCTTCTTCACGTCCGCGTCCAGCTTCCTGATAGCCGCCTCCAGCTCCTCCTCATTATCGAAATCCTCGTCCGCCAGCATCTCGTTCCACTCTTTCCGCGGCACCTCCGCCTTCTGCGCCTTGAGCTCCTCGAGCACTCTCAAAGCCTCCTCCGTCTTCGCGAGCTTATCCGCGCGCGCCTTCGCCGCCATCTCCTGCAGTTTACGCCCCTGCTCCTTTCTTCGCTCGGTCAACCGCGCCTTCTCCTCCTCGCTCTTCTCCACCGCAACGGCGTACGGGAACTGCACCACGACCTCGCTCCTCCGCATCTCAAGCGGGTCCGCCAGCCGCCTCATCAACTCCCTATAATCCGTCGCGACCGCACACTGCGTCCGCAGCATCCAGTTCGTCTGCGCGGGCGTGACGCGCGTGCCGAACGACGGATACTTCAGCTGCACGAGCTTAAGCAGGTACTCGTTCGCCTGCTGCGCCCCAAACGGCAACCGCCGCGCAGCGCTCATAATCCCGCGCCCGCTCACCACCGGGATCACGCTCGTGCTCGCCGTATTAAAGCTCACGACCAGCGCGTTCATACTAAACGGCGCAATCGGCGTCGGCGGGAGGTGGTTGTGGTATAAGGACATGGGCGCGTCGACGGCGTAGAGCACGCTGGGCGCGCCGTAGAGCTCGAAGAGGAGCTCGGACGTGAGGGCGCGGGAGTAGAGCGGGGAGCAGAGGCGCTCGGAGAGGAGGAGCGGGTGCGCGACGGCGGGCGTGTCGAGGCCGAGGGACGTGAACACATAATCAAACGCGCTTTCCTGTTCTCCATCCCCCGGTCAACATTATATCCCACATGTATAGATATGTAGAATAGACATACGAGCGCGTCGGGGTTCACGAGCACGTCGCCCTCCCACGGCTGCTTGCTCTGCGCGCGCGCACCGCTCTCCGCATCTATGGCCTCGCCGAATAACAGTAATTGCTTGCCCTGGCGCCGCTCCTTGAAGCGCGAGACGGCGTTCTGCGCGCAGATGGGGTCGGCCCAGCCGGCCCAGCCGAAGCGCAGGGTCGAGGAGCCGTTGTCGATGACGATGGGCGTGTGGTGCGCTTTGGCGCCCGCGTCGTAGGTGTGCCGAGGTTGAGTTGGGATCGCGGGGGCGGGTGGGAGCGCGACGATGTTTAGGGACTCGGGGTCTGGGGTGCTGGTGGAGGCCATCGCCACAGGTAGTCAAGACGCGTCGAGTACAAGATCTCAGCACAAGTTTATTACAGTCAGTCGCGGGGATGATGGTATATGGGCCCCAGAGTAGCAAGCGCCAGGCCGTACGTGGCGGCCTTGTTCAAGTCGAACTCTGATCCAACATCGTGATGGAGTCTGGGAAGGCGCCCGTCGCACGGTGAAGCGCTCGCGTCAAGTCTTGTCTTGCACTACCATCTCAGTCCGCCTTCGTCGCCTCCCACTACCGCCTCCTCAGCTACTATGAAGATAGCCCATGAGACTGTGTAGGGGTGGTTGACATGTCTCCGTATTTGTCTGTACAACACTTGCAATGATCATTGATTGATTATCGCACATGCGCCGTGCTATAGAATGGAAAGCCTGAAGTACAACGGGTCGATGCCCCACGGTACTTGGAGGGTAGCACGCAGCCTTCTACTTGACTACAGATGCATTTGAAGTCATGCTCTAGCAGACCGTGGGATTCACGACCTCATCGGCCTCGCTCCCCCGTGCATCAAGCCACGCGCCTGACTCGCTTCTGTCCGCTACCACCAACATCATGAGTGCCGGCACATTCAAGTAAGTCTCTTCAACTATGGCGTAGTCTGATATGAGTGACTAACAGGCCTTCTCTACAGCGCTCTGCCATCAAACCTCATCCTACGCATCTTCAAAGACCTTCGCGACTGGGAGGAGTGGCTGCCAGAGCGCGATGTTCTGGAGTCTGGAAAGATCCTATATCGTTCGGGGTGGATGATGGTGACACATGTGTGTCGGAGGTGGAGAGAGGTGCGTTATACGCGGGCTATACGCGCTGTCGTATACCTGAGGCTGACACTTGTGATCGCAGATCGCGCTGAACGACCCTTCGCTTTGGGCGGAGTCTACGATTGACGTCCTTAGTATTCATCCCAACTACATTCCTGTCATCCTTGAGCGCTCTTCTCCTCTTCCTCTGTCTATTCAAATTGAATACGAGGACTCGTTTGATGACATTGCTGAGGATCCCGGTCTGCACGCGTGGCTCTCCCCCGAAGGGCTGCGACGCGTCGAGAGCTTCTCCGTAGAGGGCGAACTTGGTCTACTTGACTTCACACTGCCCCGTCTCCCAGACGACCTGATCCATCTCAAGAAACTCTTCTTATCCGTCAATGACATCGAAGATCCGATCATCCTACCCCCGTTCCTCGCAAACCTCTCCCACATCGAGATGCTCTGGCTAGAATCCTGCGCTCTCCCCTGGACCTCCCCAATCTACTCTCCGAATCTCACGTACCTCCACTTCCGCGGCACCGGCCACGACCCCCCAAAATCCTACACCGAGTTTAACGACCTCATCGCGCGTCTACCGCGCCTCGACACGCTGCATCTCATAAACTTCGTACCGGTCCAATCGCACAGTGACACCGCGCCACATGAAGGTGTTCTCGCTCTTCCGTCATGTTTTCGCTGGTTGGAGTTCATCGTGACTAAGAAACACATGCTCAGCGATGGACTCGTTTTTCTATCTGATCTTCATGCCCCTCCTACGTATACGCGCCAGATCCAGATCCTCAATATCCCAGACGCACTATCGAGCACAGCGTCATTCGATACCGCCGTTCGGACAATGCTGCGCCGGTTATTCGTCACAGACCACCCTAGCCTCGTACCACGAGCTCTCGACATCCGCGGCGACCTCATATCCGTCCAATCCGGCGATATAGAGGCGCAAGACGCTATGTACAGGCAGATCTACGAGATCCCCGCGACCAGAGAGTCGCCGCAGAGTGTGATCAGCCTACGACCCGATCACGACGATTCTGCCGCTCTTCAATGCAAGATGCTCGCTTGTCTCCCCCAAACCGCTCTAGAGAGTTTGCGCCGGATCTCGTTCGCCGCTTCCGCGATCCGCGCCATCGACACGCTCGGGCTTTGGACGCATTTACGCGCCGCCGTCAACGTGCGGCATGTTGATATCGGCTTAGACCCGTTCGAGTTTGCATCTTCAGATTGCGCACCGCTGTTACAGCGGTTTGAACAAAGATTGGCAGTACCGCTAGAGAGAAACATTTTGAGAAGTGAAAAATGGAGATAGTCGCATAAATCTAAAAATAATAAAGCGAGCCTGTGCAATACCATAGACCAAACCGTCGAAAGCGCGAGACCCAGGTCGCACGTTCGAACCGCACGCGGGACGCTCGCCCTTTAGTCCGTGCGCGCGCACTCGTTCGCGCTCTCCTTCCTCTACTCATCACTCTTCTCAACCCGCTCAATGCGCGCCTGTCCCGTCCATTCCGCCCATCTCTTCGCGCCGTCCTGTCGTCGCGACGTGTTCCCGGGTCTTTCTCTTTTGTCCCCGCGCCCTCGCGGCCCGCCATCCTCCCGCCCGCACGTCATGGTCGCCCGCCCGCTCTCGCGCCCGCCACGCCAGCCATCTAACCGCCCGGCCTTATACCGATCCCTCCTGCGCGCATGTCTGTCTGCTGTGCAGCCATAATGGGTTCTGCTAGCGGCATACGTGTGCGAATCCGCAAGCCAGGTGCGCCGGGAGGATGTCAATGGTCGGCACCGGGGACGCGGGAGTGCGGGAATGAAGGAGAAAAACCCGACAGGGTGGCGTGACGAGAGGACGGCGCGGATAGATGGACAGGACAGGCGCGTAGCGGGCGGATTAGGGAGAGGGGCAGGGCGACGGAGCGCGGACGAGCGGGTGTAAGGTTGCTAAAGGCCGAGCGTCCCAGAGCGTCCCGTGTGCGGCTCGTACGTGCGACCCGAGACCCGCGCTTTCGACGGTTTGGTCTAGGACGTAGTACAGGCCTGCAATATTATTTTCAGACTTATACGAGTATTTCTATTGAAGACTTACAGGATGATTCTCTGTAAGCGGCACTGCCAATCTTTATGCAAGCCGCTGTAAACTTCTTACAGCAGGGGAAAGACGGAGCCCTGTTCTTCCCGCGCCTCGAAGTGCTCGCCCTCCACCTGCCGAAGGAGACGGACGGACTGGGGTGGATAGGCGGGATCGTCGACGTTGTGCGTGCTAGGAAGAAGCAGGGTTTGCCGTTGCGTGATGTTTTAGTACCAGATCACCCGGTGCATTTGCTTGTATGGAATACCCTTCGGGCCGACGTACCAGTCACCATCATGCGGCGACCGTAGAGACCGAATACGCACTCTTCGTGTCACATGTACATATACAGCCCCCACATATCATCTACGCTCACAAATTTTGATAGACTACTGAGATGTAGCTCTTAGAAGCAGCGCAGCACAGACATTCTGGCGTTGATCCGCGGGGCACACGCCTGTCCGCGCCTGAGCTGCGCGCATGATAGATGTCACGTGGCCGCGTCTCCCCTTTGTGGTTCTGAATCTGACCGGCGACGCGACGCGACTCGCGCACTCTCTCTCGCGCTGCCACCACTCCCTTCCAGTAGCGGTGACATCATGGCCAATCCAAACTCCCCGTGAGTGCGTACGCCTGTCAGAGAAGCGTGTTGCTGACCGAATCTGCAGCTCACCGTACCTCGCCATCGTCCGATCACGCTTCTCAAGCTTGGCGCCGCCTGGCGTCCAGCAAGCGCACCACCTTCAAAACATGGACACCGAGATACGCTCCATCCAACTTGCCCTGGAAGAAGCACGCCGAATAAGGAACATGAACGTTGGAGCATATCGTCTTCCGCCCGAAGTCCTTACGCAAGTCTTCGAGGATGTGCAAGAGCAGTGGGGGCCTGAACGGGAAGTTGAGGAGAAGAAGGATAGTAATCATGAGAAAGTGCAGAATGAGAAAGGCTCTGAGCCTTGGCGTGATGTGTTTACTGGAGGATGGATGGTGGTCACACATGTATGTGCTTACTGGCGCAAGGTCCGTAAGAGCATCGTGAACTCCCCCGAAGCTCGATGGCGTGGTTCTGACACACTCGTACCAGGTCGCGCTGGGTAATCCCTCGCTATGGTCCGAATCAGAGATTGACGTAGTCAGCATTCACCCTGGATACATCCCCGATATAATAGCGCGTTGTCGCGGACGTCCGATCCATCTGCATCTCAATACCCAAGACCTCGAATTCAGAGCCTCAAACGAATCGGAAGTCGAAGAAGATGCCGGTGTACAAGCGTGGATCTCGCCTCTTGTTCTTGGCCTTACCAAGGACCTCGCGATCTCTGCGCTTTATGAAATGCTTGAATATACCGCCAGTCGACTGCCTACAGAAATAACACATTTACGAAAGCTTTACCTCGAAACTAACGGATTGACTATGGAGGCTCCAGAGGAGGTAGCGCCGAAACGGTTCTGGGAACTCAATACCGTCTCAGATCTGACTCTGAGCTCCTGCGCTATACCATGGCGATCTCCCATCTTCTCCTCGTCTCTCACTCGCCTGGTGCTACAAAGCATGGATGGTGTACAGTACCCCAAGACATATGTCGAGCTTCGCGACCTGTTGTCACGCATGCCACACCTCCAGGTTCTCGAAATGTGGAACATCGTGCCGGATCCGCTCGCACAACAAGACCTCACCATTGATCTCCCTCCGTCTTTGCGCAGGGTCGAAATCAATGTGATACGACCTGAGCGTGTGCTTGATGGCTTGTGGCTCATGGAGCGTGTTCGGTCGCCCCCAAGTTGCTCTGTCGACTTCTCTATCTGGCCCGGATGGCTCGTGACAGAGAACCCCGCTATCAACGATCTGCTCCATGGATCCATGCACCACATGCTCTCAAATAGCAACGTTACCGCACCACGACACCTTGTGTTGAGCCATAATACTTTTATCATCGCTTCCACCGACATTTTCGCGGACCGAGGTCCAAATGTAATGGTCTCCGCCACTTCCGCCCCAGATACCACCGTCAGCGCTTTCAGTATCACGGAGTCCGAGCGCAGATTCGGAAACGAGGGCATGATTGTATACGACATGACTCCTCTTCTAGGTTGCATTAATCTTGAGAATCTCCGGGCAGTCGCATTCAGCTCGGAGACGATCCACGCTATCAGCACCCAGAACATCTGGACGATGTTCCTCGCCGCCGTCGACGTTCGCCGGATCGACTTGGAATCGCCGCACGCAGCGGTCTCGGCGCACTTCTCTGATCTACAACGAGCACTGTGCCATCGCTACTCTGTAGGCTCGACAGATGGTCCCCATTGGAAGCTTCTGCTCCCTCGCCTGCAGACGTTGGCATTACACCTCACGGACGAAGACGTCCAAAATGCAGAGTTCGTGATAGCGCTTATTGAGCTGATACGCATGAGGGCCGAGCTCGGCGCAGCTCTGCGAGCAGTTTTGGTCCCGCGTGGACTCAGATATGGGTCTTTGTGGGATACCCTACATGCGACGGTGAAGGTCACGCGGGTCAGTTGTAGCCGTACGCGTACGGTGTTCAAAAGGAGAATGTCACTTTGGATACCAAACTAACTGTTTTTGCTTGTTTTTCCGGCGGCATAGAGCACAAACCACCACGCATGTCGAGGTGTCTGTTATGTGGCGACCTTAAACCTGAGATAAGCACTGCGTTTGATTCCACTACGCTCGCTGTCCCGCTGCATGTACGTACTTTGTATACATACTCGGATATAACTGCGCGCTGCATGGTAGAGCCACTGCGCGTGTCTTGAAGGTAGCGAAGGCAGTGCACCATATGAGTTCTGGCATCAGCACGCGACGTAGGCTTGTTTTAGTCAACGCGCAGGGTAAACCTAATGTATACACATCTCAGAGTAACTTCATGATGCAATATACAGCTACTATCTGAGTACTGGGGCTACTGAAGATAAGGCGCCAGGCAGGTCCCGACCTTTGCGTGCGACACAGCCTACAGGCACGCTCGGGTCGACGCGCATCATGACCGCGTTAATCTCACGTGGTCGCGTTCTCCCCTTTATGCTCTAAACGCGCCTTGCGCGCTCTCTCACGTACGGCCACCACTCCATTCCAGCAGCGGTGGCACCATGGCCAATCCCAACTCCCCGTGAGCGCGTACGCCTGTCAGAGATGCATGTTGCTGACCGGATCTGCAGCTCACCGTACCTTGCCATCGTCCGATCGCGCTTCTCAAGCTCGGTGCCGCCTGGTGTCCAGCAAGCGCATCATCTCCAAAGCATGGACTCCGAGATACACTCTATCGCACTCGCTCTGGCAGAAGCACGTCGAATAAGGAACACGAGCGTCGGGGCTTGTCGTCTTCCGCCCGAAATCCTCACGCAAGTATTCGAGGATGCACAAGAGCAGTGGAAGCCTGATCGCGAAGTTGAGGAGGAGGAAAAGGAGGAGGACGAGGAGGACGAGGAGGACGAGGACGAGGACAATGATGAGGTGGAGGACGAGAAAGGGCATGATGTGTTTACTGCAGGGTGGATGGTGGTCACACATGTATGTGCGTACTGGCGCAAGGTCCGTACCATCTGCTTGGACTCCCCGAGAGCTCGATCGCGACGTTCTGACACCCTCACAGGTCGCGCTGGAAACTCCATCGTTATGGTCAGAAACAGGGATTGACGTCTTTAGCATCCACCCGGGATACATTCCCGATATCATGGAGCGCTGTCGTGGACGTCCGATCACTCTACATGTCAACCCCGAGTCAATTAGCTCTCATAACGAATATCACGCCTTGAAAGATACCCGTGTAGACGCCTGGATCTCGCCTCATGTGCTCAGTCTCACCAAGGATCTCACGATTTCTGCGCCTCCTTCGTTTTTGGACCACACCGCCTTTAAGCTTCCCACTGAATGGACACATCTACGGAAGCTTTACCTCGAAACTAACAGCTATGCAAGCTACGAATACGTCGCACCGGCACCATTTGGAGCGCTCGACACCGTCACAGATCTAACTTTGAGCGCCTGTTCGATACCATGGCAATCCCCAATCTTCTCGTCGTCTCTCACGCGCCTTGTTCTGCTTAGCCGAGGCAGTGCATCGTACCCTCAGACGTACATCACACTCCGCGACCTGCTGTCCCGCACACCGCGCCTTGAGGTCCTTGAATTGGAGAACATCGTGCCGAAACCGCCGTCTGACCAGCACTCGGACCTCGCTGTTGATCTTCCTGTGACAATGCGTAGGGTGTCAGTCGAGGTGATACGACCTGACTTTGTGGTGAACGGACTATTGTTCATGAGGCATATTCGGCATCCCCCTCGTTGCTCCATCGACTTCTCTATCTGGCCCGGACCGTCTCTGGTAGAGAACCTTGCTGTGAACAGCGTGCTGCAAGAGTTTTTGCAGCATATGCAGTCGAAAAGCAATGTCACCTCACCACAGCGCCTTGTGTTGAGCCATAACACCCTCATCACTGCTTCGACTGATGTTATCGCGACAGACGGCCCGCATGCAGTGTCCTCTACCACCTTACCCGCAGACACTATCATAAACGCCTTTGCCATAACGGAGTCAGGATACACTCGTGCCGATGATAAAGTGATCATCTACGATATGGCCCCCCTCCTGAAATGCATCCACCTCGGGAAGCTGCGGGCAGTGGCCTTTAGTTCCGAGACGATCCGCGCTATCAGCTCGCAAAACCTCTGGACGACGTTTCTCGCTGGCAGCGATGTGCATCAGATCAATTTGGAATCGCCGTACGAGCCGGTTTCGGCGCACTTCTTCGATTTGCGACGTGCGCTGTGCCATCGTTACTTCGTCGAGTCGACAGATGATTCGCACTGGAAGCTTCTTTTCCCTCGCCTGCAGACGTTGGTGCTGCACCTTACCGATGGAGACGTCGAAAATGCGAAGTTTGTTATCTCACTCGTCGAGCTGATGCGCACAAGAGCTGAGCTGGGCGCGCCAATGCAGGAAGTCCTGGTCCCGCGTGAACTCTCATATGGCCCGCTGTGGGATATCTTGCGCGCGACAGTGAAGGTTACGCCGGTCACTTGTAGTCGTACGGTGTTCGGAAGGAAAAGATCGGTGTGGATAAAAGCCACTCGAGCTTAATGATCTTTCAGCGTCATTACAACGGTGCGCTGGTGGCTACATCGCGGAGAGTAGACCGTCTGGTCGTTCTTCTACATAGTGCCTACTTGTATCACCAGTCCGTTCCCATGTAGCCCCGTTCGCGATCTATACAGTTTTGCATGTTATCTATTATCATGTTAGAATCACGATAGACTGTGACGAGCTCACGTACATCTTGAAGCAACTCGTGGTACTCTGACTGCGACAGTGATCAAATCCTACCCGTGCATCTCACGTGGTCGCGTTGCGTCGGCATCGGGGATGCGCGCGGCGCGCGGCGCGCGCGACGTCGAGACGCGTCGCGCTCAAACCGGACGTTGACCACGCTTGGAGAAGTCATGTACATTCTAGTCGCACTTCGCACCGTACGGGGCGTGTAGCACGAGGAGACCCTACAACACGTGTTTCCACAGGGGTTGAAGCGCTTCCCCCAGGTAGTGTGGCGTGTGGCGTCAAAGGGAAAGACCATCGGCGTTCGCGGCTAGTGCGAGTTTGCATCTCTCCTCTTGCCACCATCTCCGTCTCCGAGTGTTGTTGAGGGCGAGCTCCTCTTCTTGTCATCTGGGTCGTTCAGTGTCTCTTGCTGATGTCCCCCATCCCCCTCAAGCTCGTCAGGAGCTCGCTATTGCGCCTACGCGTACTTCAAGCTACCAGTCTACGCGAGGAACAAGCCATTCAAAGCGCACTTGAGGAGTTGGAGACCGCTGTCGTAGTATGTGGTGGAGAAGCTGTACTAGCAGCTGCATTAGAACAGCCGAACGTGCTACCTTATATCGTCTCAAGTGAGTAATTGTCTTCTGAAGTACTATGAAACGACATCCCCGGGGACCTGGCGCCTTGCAGTCGGTCGTGTGACCTACCAATCTTACATGCCCTTTGTATCCACATGTTCTGACCAAATTATAGTTCTATCCAAGCCGGTGTTCGAGGATCTTCTCATCGACGCCCTACTATCTTGGGATAAGACCATCCACTCCTGGTCCCAAGAGAACCTCTCTTGGCGCGTACTCGCAGCACTATCCAAGACTGCCTTCTTCCTCCAAATACGGCGTACCGAAGACGAAGAGCGCCAGTTGCGCGAGCACCATCAACTTGTATTCGCTGCGCCACAACTCCTCTCAACCCTTCCCAAAATGGCCTTCGCGTCTCCATCACCGGCGGAACCCGAAGCGTTCTCACCCATCGACGAGGAGTTCGGCTTCAACATTCCCGTCAAGCAGACCCAGCGCGACCGTAAGAATGCGAAGAAGCGCGCCGTACAGCAGCGTAAGGCCGAGTCTGAAGCACGCATCGATCCTGCGGTGTTTGCCGGCCTCGGCGTTACCCCACCGACGTCCAGAGAAGATGCGGATAGGGTATACGTCCGTGTGGCGGATCGTTGTCGAGACGCTCTCGAGGTACGTTTATGCTTTCGGAGCTACTACAGGCGTGTGTTGACGACTTCCATGTAGCACCTTTTGACCTACTTCTGGATATCAGTTCCGAAGGATGTCTTGAAGAACGCCTACATTCCCGCGGTGTCATCTGAGGTTAGCGACATCACCGAAACGCTCAAGGCTGTGACACTTCCGTCGGTACGAGCTACGCTGAACTCCTCGCCCTACATTGCTTATGAGTTGCTCAAGGATATCACTGTCGTGGAAGAAGTACCGGCCGCTTTCCCCGCCGTGCAGCCTATGCGCGCAGCGTTGTACTTCGACAGCGCCGAAGGCTTCGGACCGTGGAAGATCTTGGTGGGTCAACGGGCCACAGGCGACCTCCGTGAAGCGAAGAGAAAGTCTCCGGACTTCTACAACATCTTCGTCAAGAAGATCAAGTATGTGTTGCCCTTTGTAGCTGAGTACAGTCAGAGTTGATCCCCTCTCAGAGAGCTGTCACACGGCCACTTCTCGTGAGTTATGCGAGCTTCTCTCTTTGTATAAGCTCTTGCTGATGTTGCTATACTTCCAGGGACGATAACCAGAAGCGTCTCACAGGTGAAGCATTTAGTATCGGCGTGCGAACCTGACTGATCGCGCATACAGGTCCGAACACTCCCATTCCGATCTACGAGGCGAAGATGACCCGCGACACGCGCCTCATCGTAAGTCAGCATACCAGTTTAGTACGCTCTCATACTGACTTCAGATGTGCAGTATCAAGTGGACGTTGTACCCGAGATCGAGACGAAGGTCGAGCGGCAAGGTATGCATCCGCTTCATCCGGGGCCGGTTCGCTATGCTCACTCGCCCGACACAGTCATCCGCATCTTCGGCATCAAGACGCACACGCAGATCGACAGTCGTCTGTGGGACTCAATCGGCCACCAGCTCTTCCGGCGCGGCCGAGAGTACATGAAACGATGCGCGTTTCGTCTGCCCCACACCCAGATGCACGGCGAAACGTCCTTCCTGCCGAAAGAGTGGCCATTCGAAGGGGAGCAGACGCGTGAGCGTGAGGAGAGCGTGAACTCCGAGAAGGTTGTGCCCGACTTCGAGCCGTCGAAGGAGGATCTGGAGGAGATGCACTCGCTTTTGGTGTACGACACATCCCTTGATGTCTTCTCACGGTCATGTACTGATGGGCGCGTGCCAGGCTCGACAAATACGTCTCCCTTTCCCAGGCGTTCCTTAACAGTACACCACCATCTCCAACTCGTTTTCGGCCATAGCTGACCGTCATCCCGACAGGCATCCTCGCGGATCATGAGGTCGCGCACGTCTTTCAAGTTTCGTAAGTCCCCTCTACTCCATATGTTAGTGTAGTACCTTGAAGCTCATTGCACATAGACCGCATGAGCAAGAGATCATCGAACATGACCACTCTTGCTATGTATTGGGTCGCAGCGGCACTGGGTGCGTAGCCCATCATCTCTACAACGTACCCAAGACTGACCGTACGACCAAACACAGCAAAACGACGACCATGCTCTTCAAGATGCTTGGCATCGAAAACTCGTGGCAGCAAGTGCAGCAGACCGAGACCGACGCCACCGGCATCGCTCGTCCTCGCCAGCTCTTCGTAACACAGTCACGCGTACTGGCGGACAAAGTTGAGGAGTACTTCGTCAAGCTACTCGAATTCTTACACTTCGCGTCTGAAAATGGGTCGAGCGAGGCTCTGCGCGAGCTACTTGGACGCCGCCAGGTTCGGGAAGAGGCTGGACTGGTAGATCGTGATGAAGCCATCGACTGGCGCGAAGACCTTCCCTCCCGGTTCTCCGAGCTTCAGGACGCCCACTTCCCCATGTTCATCACCTTCGACAAGGTTAGTTCGGCACCATAGCTTCCGTCAGCGGACACTCATCATCGCCTCAGCTCTCTTCTCTACTTGAAGCCGACATGGAGAACACCATCGTTGCTAAGCGCAGCGAGTTGGAGATGACAAGCCCGACATCTCCCGGCATGCCGAACCCTCTGGATGGCACAGGAGGCGGCACGAGCGAATACATGCTCCAGGCTCGCGAGGCATTCGTGAGCTTCGACGTATTCAGAGACCAATACTGGCCACACTTCCCGCAACCTCTGACCAAAGGCATCGGTATGCTGTCTCCCACGATCAAATCACGGCGCCTATCTCACAGCGCTCACAACAGATCCGGCGTTGGTTTTCTCCGAGTTCATGGGCGTCATCAAAGGCTCCGAGAAGACGCTCGAGGCCGGCGCCGAGAAGACGTGGCTGTCGCTGTCCGATTATCTCAAACTCAGCGCTCGGTCACAAGCTACGTTCGCTGGTCGCAGGAAGGAGATCTATCGCCTCTTCGAAGCCTACATCCGTGCGCGTAGGGACCGCGGCGACTACGATGCGGCGGACAGAACTCACTCCATCCTTCGCGAGATGCGAGAGAACGGGGTCTCGGGGAAGAAACTCGACTTCCTGTAAGTCTAGCGCTTCACGGCACTATTCCACTCGTGCTGACCATATCTAGCTATGTCGACGAGGTACAAGACAATCTGTTGATCGACGCCATGCGTGCGTGTATCTATCCTTAGTCGTGTGTACTTTGCTCATGTTTGGCACAGTCCTTCGCATGATCTGCGTAAACCCCGAGGGTCTCTTCTGGGCGGGAGACACCGCGCAGACAATCTCCGTCGGAAGCTCATTCCGCTTCAACGACCTCAAAGCCTTCCTTCACCGCATGGAAGAGTCGGCGCTGGCTGCGCAGAGCTCGAACCTACAGCAGAAAGCCGCGCGGCCGCCCAAGTCTTTCCAGCTCACGACCAACTTCCGTTCACACGGTGGGATCGTCCGCGCCGCCCATGCCGTGGTCTCGCTTATCACCAGGTTCTGGCCGAATGCGCTCGATGCGCTGGCACCGGAGCAAGGTGTCGTCGATGGTATCAAGCCCGTGTTCTTCTCGGGATGGGATGCAGACAATGTTCGCTACGAGAGCTTCCTCTTCGGAGAAGCAGGCGCTCAGATTGAGTTCGGCGCTCAGCAATGTGCGTATCCGGTCGTCTATATGCCGGATCCCTGACTTCTGATGTTGCGATGTAGGTATCCTTGTACGAAGTGATGCAGCGAGGGAGCGCTTGCGCAAGCAGGTGGGAGATATCGGTCTCATCTTGTGGGTGTAGTTGGCCGTCGTATCCAGAATAGCGACTTAACTTTCTCTTAGGACGCTCTACGAGTCGAAAGGGTTGGAGTTCAACGACGTCATGCTGTTCAACTTCTTCGAGGATTCGACCGTCGACGAGTCTGCATGGCGCGTCGTACTCAACGCGCTCAGCGTCAATCAACGTGAAGGCGAACCAGCTCCAGACTTCAACGAGATTAAGCACGCCGGAGTGTGTTCTGAGTTGAAGTTCCTTTACGTCGCTGTCACACGTGCCCGTAAGAACTTGTGGATCGTCGACCGGTCCGAACGTGGTGTACCTATGAGGGTATGTCGTACCCGGTTTCTTGATTGCTATGAGGCTGACATCTATACAGACATACTGGATGGCGCATAATCTCGTCCAGCACTACACACCGGGAAGTGAAACCGAACTACCTCAGCTTGCTGTGGCTTCAACGCCTGAGGAGTGGGGCAAGACTGCCCGTACTCTCTTCGACAACAAACGCTACTTCCAGGCCATGCACGCATATGATCGTGCAGAGATGCCGCGTGAAAAGGCTGCTTCGTATGCGTACTACTTGCGCGAACAGGCTTACGCAACATCGGCTTCGAAGGCGGGCGGCGCCAATGATCCTCGGCGCTTAGCCTATATCGCAGCTGCGGAGGCTTTTGTCAGCTCAGCTAAGGTCGCGAAGCGCGAGCGCCGCGAATACTATCGCATTGCTGCTCGGCTCTATGTCGCCATAGACGAATACGGAAAGGCAGGCGACGCGTATAGAGAAGCACTCTTCTTCACAGAAGCGGCGCAAAACTACCGTAAAGCCGGTCAGTTCGACAAGACCGTAGAGGTACTTCTCGGGCACCGCGCCGACATGGATGCGACCATTTGGGAGCGCTTGCGTGGAGTCTCTAGGCTGTTTTACTTCAAGCAGCACGATCTCCAGTACGTTTAATCACGTCACTCTTCAGTCTGAACCTCGATACTAATCGTTGTCCGGCAGACGCGCCTCACAGCTCTTCGATAGCGTCGAGGAGAAGCTGGAGTTCACTGAGGAATATGACCTTGACGATGTGCGCGCCGAGCTTCTCGAAGACGCTGGACGCTTCTCCGAGGCTGCCGAGCTGCTTCTGGCTGAGGGGCGCACGATGGATGCTATAGACCTGTATCTCCGCGATGAATCCTCGCCGGAATCGCAGTCCAAGGCGAAAGATTGCATTCTTGACGCCTTGTGGAAGGCACTATCATTCAACATCTCTCCGGATCCAGTTCACGCCACCGCGTACAAGGCTCTGAAAGCTCTTTTCAGACTGTTGCAGCGTCTCGATACAAGCACCTTCACAGATCGCTCCCGCGCCGAGATAGAGGTCTTTCAGGCGATCGAACGACAGGATGCGAACAGTCTTCGGGCGTTGGGTGTCCGTCTTGCACACCGTGGCCCTACGTACATTGATCTCACGTTACTGTGCCTCGACCACGGGTTCAAGAGCACGCAGCACATCTTCTCGGGCAGTGGCGACCACGCTTTGTCCGTTCTAGAGGCCTACAACATCTATATCCGGTTCCTGTCCAGCGCCATCTTCCACAAGGAACCTTGGGCAAGCGTTCTCTTGTCACGGCTCTTCGGGATACAGGTCACCGACGAGGGCTTGATACAGCTCAAGCAGGACTCTTTCCTCCACGCGAGCCATCTGCGCTTCAATCACGCCGACTCGTCCAGCGATGCACCAGCGCTCCGGGAAGTAGCTCTCCGGACGCTCTACCGCAAGGCACTTTGGGAGCGCATGCGTGTAAGCGTCGACTCGGTGAACCGTCAGTGCTTGAACGTCAAGACTTTTGAACCGTGTGAACGCAAGGCCACCGGGTACGTGATATGGTCCATATTGACCTGCGCACGGCTCACGCCAAGTTCGCGCAATAGATACTGTGAGCCAGGGAATGGCTGCAACTTGGAGCATGAGCTGGATCAAGCCTGGTTCAATCGTCGCTTCCGTTTCTACCTCCTTCAAGGTTTCATGCTGAATACGTACCAAGACGTGGCAGCTGAGATCGGCGGGGGAAGGCGCATCGTCGGATCTTCCCAGGCGCAGAAAAATGTCCGGTACGTGACCAAGCCTATACGACTAAGGGCTATGATGTTCATTGATGTACTTGTAGGATATGGCTTGAGCGTATTGAAGAGGTCCTCTTCCCTATTCACTACGCTTTCGGCTCAGCGCATACGATCAATACGACACACGTGCCCGAGGCAGACCTTCGACGAGGCATCGCTTTAGTGCGAGAAAGCGTGCGCGCCTGCATCTACGATCTGGGACAACAGGAGGCTTTGAATCGCAAGGTGTTCACGAACATAGTCCTGGTTACGTTCAACTTGGGCTTCACGTTCGACCACACCGCCATCAACACGTACCTCCCTGGGACGCGAGTAGTAGGAGAGACGGCCTTGGCACCGTATCTTGTTCGGCAACCCGGAGGGGACAATGTCATCCACAATCTGATGGAGTTCTACAGAGGAAAGGAGCCGCATAGTCTCAAAGCGGGCGTTGCGTTCCTCAGGTATCGTGTTCCCCTTTTCAAATATGAATCGGACACTGATAGTTCATTCAGTCATATCACGGAGCGAAGACTTCCCACGGACGTCGGGAGACTGAGCACATTCTTAGACCGACTCTGTAGTTCTGTGATCATCGCGCGACGCATGGCACTACGCACGCCGACGCTCCACGACCTCACCTTACCGCGAAGCTGGCTACTTGCGCGATTGGCTGACATCGATGAGCTTTGTGACAAGGATGTCCGCGTCGGCAATGAGATTGTGAGGCTAGTATCGGCCATCCTTGTCCAGTTACACACCCTTGTCGATGCCGGTACGTCTTCTGTTCACCTTGTTATTGCCTGTACCGACGGAGCCCTTGAACGGTCTAGATCACTTGACGTTCAACTCGAAGTTCATCCTGGACAAGGACCTCGATCCTCGGTGGAGGAACATAGCCATTGCACGCATGTACGCACGTGAAGCACAATCTCATAGCACATTTACCTACTTTAGCCTTTGAACCACAGCTGCCGCTGCATTTGTCTCTGTGAGTCTTTTCTCTCATCGTCTCTGTATTGTCCGGGTGTTGACCGTTCGCAGTCGCCTACAACATGAGGAGCATACCCCTGCAAACATCGGTCTTTCGCGCTATAACTGGTCTGAAGAATTTGTCCGGTTCGGCAACGTCACCTTTGTACTCTCAGTGCGTGATCTATCTTCCGACGCTGCAGAAGGGATAAACTTACCTTTTTATGGTAGGTACGTGAGCGCACAGCATTGGTTGCGTTTGGGAAACGTCGCGACTTCAAGTATGATCAACTCTGGCCTGGACGAGATGATCCTACTCTTCCGGATAGGTTCGCGTGGCTACCCCCCGACGAACAGCCGTGTCCGTCGTGTCAATTACAGGAACGTCGACGAACTCTATGATGCTCTAGGCTCGAAGGCAAAGCCACCTGCCAAACTACGTGCCGGCGCGACTCCATTCGTTCCTGCCGGTCCAACCGCCGCGCTGTCCACCGCCACGGAACCTAGCACCACATCCTCTCAACCTGCGATCGAAGCGGAAGAGCCGCAAGCCGAGGAGCCCGATACCCTGCAGGATGACGACGCGGTAGTCATAGAGGAATCGATGCAGGCTAATGCCACGCCTGCGATATCTCCCGAAGAAGAAATCAAACGAGAGCGTGCCGCGCTGTTTTTCGCCAAGACTTATCGCCGTGTTATACGCCGACGCGCCAACCACGTACTACCGGGTGTTCCGAAAGCACGACTCGACCAGATCACTGCGTGCTTCAAGGAGGATATGAACATCGAGTGGGCTCCGAAGTCGCTCTACCGCCTCATCTTCCGCGGGCCGCTGCCGCATGCGCTCACTTGTCTCGATCGACTATTGTATAAAGCGCAGGCCGACAAAACCATGATCAAGATAAAGACCCGGATCGCGCAGCACGAGGAGCTGGAGAAGTACATGGCTGAACAGACGAAGATCAGGTGAGCGTCCATTCTCCTCCAGGCGACACTTTTCGCTGATGTCTAATGCAGCGCATACGTCAAGGAACTTTCAGGCCTGCAGAAAACGCTTGCACCGACCGCACCTCTGCATAAGGAGAAGGATCTTGCCCAACTTCGTACGCACGTCGCGCGCATCTGCGAGCTTGTCGACGAGCTGGAGAAGACCGCGACCCGGCTACACTTCGACCGGGATATCGCTTACCGCGGCATCATACAAGAGCCTGCGCCACCCAAAGTCAAGGCAACGCAGAAGCCTACGCTGAACACCAGCGACTTGAACGGGCGGGACGACTACGACGAGGACTATGATGGAGAGGGCGACGATGTGGATAGCGGTAAGGGGAGTAGTGTAGGCGATGAGCAGCATATGAGCGAGTGATCTATGTACTTCCATCTCATTCTGTACCTTTCGTAGGGTTTCGGGCGTCATGCATCATGTACAAATAACAACTGTATCTCCTACAAACGACTCGTGTACTGTACAAGCTATGTGAACGAGGCGGCATTTAGGGCTTCGTCTTGACGTTGCTGACGATGAGTTGCTATATCCGCATATCAGTCATCGGTCCAGTCATTAGCGAAGCCCGGAAAGCTTACCTTGTACGCCTGCACATCTCCATGGAACTTCGATACTGTACCGTCGCCGCATACCCAAAGTTCACTGGCAACGTGCGTGATGAAGCGCTCGTCGTGAGAGATCACGATCACGCCTCCGTTCCATTCGCTGAGTGCCTTCATGAGCGCATCGAGACCCTATCGTGCCATCATCAGCGCGTGTACGAGAGCGAAGCAGAGGAAGGGCATACCTCGAGATCGAGGTGGTTAGTCGGCTCGTCGAGCAACAGAATATGCGGGCGCAACATGCTCAGCACCGCAAACGCTACTCGACTCTTCTGTCCTCCCGAGAGTGTTCCGATCAACTGCAACCTACACAAGATCATCCAATCAGTGATTGTTACGGATGCCGTTCGAGAACCCCGTACCCAGTCATACCGCTAATCTGGAAGTTACCAAGATGCGAGCGATACTCCTGCTCCGTCTTGCCGGGGAACTTGCTCGCGAGGAACTGCACGGGGTTCATTGTCGGGATGAGCGTCTCGACGTGGTGCTGGGCGAAGTATCCGACGCGCAGGCGGCCGTTGCGGTTCATCTATGCAGTGGCAGTCCGGTCAGCTTCCAGATGATGGGGAGACGGGACAATAAAAAGGCATACCTGGCCAGCTAGCGGGCTGAGATCGCCCGTCAGCAACTTGATGAGAGTCGACTTTCCAGCGCCGTTGCTACCCACAACCGCGATACGGCTATCGAGGCCGACATCGATGTTGATCTTGTTCAGGATGGGCTTGGCTGGGTCGTATCCGAACGTCACGTCGCTCAGCTACGCCTACGGTCAGTACATATTCGCAGGAAAACACGGAAGCGGAGGAGCGCACCTGCAGTAACGGAGGCGATATCTTTTCCGTCTCCGGGAAGCGGAACGTTTCGGTCTCGTCCACCTCGGGCGGCGTGAGCTCGGGCAGCTTCTCGAGGATCTTGATCTTCGACTGCGCCTGGGCGGCTGAAAGAACCATGAGCGCGAGGCATCCATAGGGGAAGAACGAACGTACCGCGGTTGGCGTTGTACCTCCAGCGATCGATGAAGGCCTGCAGATGTGCGCGGTATTCCATCTGCGCATCGTACTCGCGACGCAAGTTGCGTTCGCGCTCGCTCTTGGTCGAGTAGAACTGCGTGAAGTTGCTATATGCTCGCGTCAGTGATCGCTCTCGGCCGCTTATAGGCGTGAGAGAAACATACCCCTTGTAGTAGTCCAGGCGGCCGGAGTGCTGGTGAATGATATCCGTCGCGACAGCGTCGAGGAATGCACGGTCGTGGGATACGACGAGAAGTGTGCCCTCCCAAGTCTGCAAGTAGTCTTCGAGCCATGCAAGAGCGTTCAAGTCGACTACACAGTGGGTCAGCTTCAGGACAGGAGCCGTGACAGGGGCACGACAGGACGTACTGTGATTGCTCGGCTCGTCGAGCAGTAACAGCGCAGGCTTCACGAACAGCGCACGCGCAAGCGCCAGTCGCATCCTCCAACCACCAGAGAAGCTCTTCGTCGGCCTCTGCTGATCGGCCTCGTTGAATCCGAGACCAGCAAGCAACGCCGCAGCACGGGCCGGACCCGACGCAGCGTCCATATCCGCCAGGCGAGCGTGCACATCGCTCAAGCGCGAATCGAGCTCATCACGCGCGTCATCGGTCGCTTTTGATGCGTCCGAGTCGAGCGCCGCGAGACGCGCGTTGAGTGAGGCTTCTTCACGCAGCAGGTGGTCGCGCCAGACGTCCGCTTTGAGGACTGAGTCGATGGCGAGGGTGTCGTCTCCGATGATCTAGGGGACATGGATGAGTCCACCGCGGCATCATCTTGTACTAAAAACAACTGACCTCCTGCTCGACGAACAAGATGGTGATATGCGCCGGAATAGGAACGTCGCGCATGGCGATATGCCTAAGTAGAGTCGACTTGCCAACACCGTTACGACCGATGATACCATAGCGTCGGCCGTGTGCGAGGGTGAGCGAAGCGCCAGAGCTGTAGAATTGGGTGTTAGACGTAGGGAACCATCATGTCGAGATATGAGCACGCACAGGATGCGGTTCGAGCCGAAAGAAACGTCGATGCTGGGCAAGTGAATGTCCTTGCTCTTATTCCTCGCGTCCTTGGCCGCATCGAGCGAGTTGATCTGCACGTCTGATCAGTATTTCTGTAGAACACTCGACCACACGATCTTTACGCACCTTCATAAACATCTCCTCGTAACTCTCCTTCGCCTTCGTCTCCTTCAACAACTTCGAGCCCTCATATAAGTCTCCGCCCGGCCGACGTGCGCGCTTCTCGATCTTGGCGCGCAACTTGGCTTCTTGCTTTTCGAGCTTCTTCACATCGACACGCGAGGCTTTGCCCTTGTTGATGGATTCGAGGTCGACGCCTTCGGCAAAAGCGAGGGTGGAGGACATCGTGGCCGTTTTACTCATGTCGAGGACCTGCGGTGTATATCGTGTCAACATGAGTCTTTACAAGCTTGTCTGAGAACAAGAGTGTTTCGTAATTTCACGGATATCCAGGGCAGCATGAAGTTCACAGGGCGTATACACACCTTGTCGAGACGTTGTAACCTCTGCGCTTGACCCTGCTTCTTCGCGCGCTCCTCAAGCAGATCCTTCAACAACTCTCCAAGTTTCGCCATGATGCCGTCTACGACCTACAAAGGCATATAACGTCAGCGCTGTTTATGAATATACGCACTACGGAGATACCTCCGACAAAACAGGGTACCTCAGGAATGGTCGAGAATAATGCTGACCTGGGTCGTATCTTTGGACGGACCAGACAGAGCAGCGCTCTCCAGCATCAAGCGTGCGACAGACATGGCGTCTTCGTCTTCGGCGGCATCATCCAGGAGGTAGCCCGCAAGATATTGCACGAAGATCTCGTCCGTCTCCGGCAACGCGGCGCGGATCTCCTCCGCTACGTCGTAGCTGCTCATTTTATCTCGTGATTACACAGCAAGACAGACTGCCAGTGGAGATACCGGAGACCAAAGGGCAGATATCGTGCGGGAGATGATCGAGGACGAGGTAGATTGTGGTTCAAAGCAAGCTGCAGCATTCAGACTGGCAGCTTGAAGCTTAGCTTGATCCACCGTCACCGAAGCAGCTGACGTAAGACTCAGAGCCAGTCTGGATTCTGGGAATCTGCCTTCAACAACTGCCTCCATGTCCCCTATAACCTACAATGTGTTTGGCGACATCACCACTATACTCTTGTCCGTGCGTGGCCTTGGCGTGACGCTGGAAGATGCGCGCGGCGTCGCCAAAGAATATAAGCAAGTTGCTCGGGTACTCTCAACCCTGGAAGCAGTTATAGGTGAAGTTCACGCACTAGCCCAAGCCTCGTCGGACAAGTCTTTGGAACAAGCCGTCGTCGAGGAGGTCGAACGATGTTGCATGGTCATCGATAATACGTTTAACAGCTTTCGCGCCTTCGAGAGGCTCGAGGATGTCTGCGCGCTCTCGCCGACCCGCCATACGACGCAAGGTCTTTTCAAGAAGCACCGGTGGCGCTTTCTGCGTGCTTCCGATGCTTCCCGGAACGCAAAGAGCTTCAACGAGAGTCTTCAACGGTTCAACAAGCTCCTCTCCATACTCTCGCAGTGCGTCTAGATATTATCTGGGTTGGTCGTCGCTGACTTGTTACTGCAGTCAAGCGACCCCTCACCAGATGAATGATCAGCGGTGTCCTTTGAAGCTTGCACCAGGTCAGCGCCCTGGAGCCCACAAGTCCGCTGACAATATCGCGGGTCTTTCACTGTGAGTGTACTACGACTGTGCCCTAGCTATGCGACAAGCATTCACGTTATCCAGCTCCGCTTCCGAGGAGGCTTCATCGTCATCCCCCACGCAGGTCATGGGACAAATCCTTTCCCGCCCATTCTTTGCCGTACCTCATGCTCGGCGAGCCACGTCTCGTGGTCAACGTATCACCGACATGATCTTCGACTCGCTCGCGCCTAACAAGTCCAAAGATCGACGACGTCGATTCTTGTCTTCACTTTCCCCATTCCTTGTCGCAGGTGCCGCTTACGTGGTTTTCGAGAACGTGGGATACAACGGGCGAATCACGGCTCTTTGGATCGCCATCTGTGCGCTTGTCGTGCAGATTATCTGGCTTCAGTCAAGAATGCCGATGCACACGGGCTCTGCTCACGACAATAGCATCATTATTATTGGATTGCTCGGAGAAGATATCGTAGTACCCTATCAATTTTGTAGATCTTTCGAGGTGCGCTACATACTCGTCCACTACACGCATGCTCACGACACATTTTCTATAGACGCTACATCAGTTCCTGGGACAATTTTACTCGGAGACTCCTCCACTAACGTCAATGGACTTCGTGAACACGAGGCTCTATGAGTTGTACATCGCCGGCACCTCGGATCCTATCGCCTCCGATACCTGTTTCATTCACGTACGGCCTGGTGTCTGCCTAGAGATGGTCTTGTTGCTGGTTTCCGAAACAGAAGAGAACAAACTACCGGCTTGTCCCTGGTGCGACGTTCAGTACGAGTCTGTGGAGAAGTCCAGTGCGATGACCTGGTAAGCGCTACGGTGTCTTCCTAAGGAAATGTCATATCTAATGGGTAGAACTAGTGCTGGATGTTATAGAGACCTCATACAGACACGCAAAGACATAGCAATCGCCAGATGGACTGGGATCTTTACAGTGGCTGATATCGTGTCAAGGTCTGTTGAAAGTGTTACATCGTACTTCTTGCACTGATCCAACATTGTGCACGCTTAGATGCCAGGACACAGATTTCAATGTGGCCCTCTCCCAGATGGATACGCCAGTCACCGACATGACAACCATGGCACAACTTGGTACTTTCGTCGATATTGTCGACCCTTCATTCCGGCGTCGATGCCATCGTATTCATGCCGTCAACATCTTTTGGCACCGAGTAAGCCTACATCCTCCCGATTCCTCCCATGACATCGAGACTGATCATTTCGACTCGATAGAGTTGTGAGTGCCATGCCGTCAACGACTTCTAAGGTATCTCATTCTTGACCTCTGAGCGTAGATACACCCGAGGACGTTCGATCGGTGTCGCAATGGGTGGCGGAGACTTTGCTCGCCAAGCAGGCTACGTTTACGAAGTCAAACCTCGGCTATGAACTGAAAAGGTCGTACATCAGGTCTATCAATAAGATTGACGCTTCCCGTTCCGTGGGTCCTCAGTACTTCGGACACCGTGCAGCACCTAACGACCATCACGCAGCTCTATAAAGAAGATCTATCTCTCGACAAGCGCATCTACGATGCCGTCCTGGAGGAGATTGCACCCAGTGCGACCACAAGTGTTAACCCTGACGGGCCGGCGCTCAGCAAGCCGATGACTGTTGTGGAACAGTAGGTCAAACCCGATAGCCTACCGATCCCGACACTAACAGTATTGCGCATCCAGCAGATTGCTTGCAGAGATGGTCTCTACTCTGAACGCTTTCATCGACGACCCGTCAGAAAAGAACCTTCACCGGTGGGAGGACGTGGTCAAGGATGACCCGGACGCTCACGCGTCCTTCGATATGCGAAAGGAGTATGAGGCACTCCTAGATGAGCATCGGTCTATTAGCAGGAGCCTCTGTAGTGCATTTGGCTTCACATGAGGATCGCCTAGATGACATCTCTACATCTACGTATTCACCGTACATCTCTCGACGCCTCTTCGGTTCAATGTGCGCGCCTGTTCTAGACTACCGCCGTGTGTATGCCATAGACCAGCCTCTCTACCTTAGTGGCCCTCGCTCTCACTGGCCTATGCTACCCAGAGTGCGCGCAACAATCTCCGCCGCTTGGCCATGTCCCGCGAGCCGTAAGACCGTCATGGACTGGCCTCAATGCGTCGTCAACACCACAGTGCGAAGCGAGCATATCGCGCTTTTTGAAAGCCATAGATCCGAGTTTGACGCCGTACGCTGTTGCGCGGCGCACGCACATGGCACTTGTCAATTTTGTGTAAGCGCCCAATTAGGCGCGAGGAATCAATGCGAGGAATGGAAGTACCTGTTCCACATGCCGCCTTCCGCGGCGCCCTTCTCTTCGTAATCCGTTGCGAGTGAAGCTTGAGTGTAAGAACGTTCCCTACACCAGCGCCAAGGTCGACGAGCATGTTGGGCGGACCATGCTTCGTCTCTCGGATGATCCTGATCGCATTCACGTCAGACACGAGGAGCGACACATATACAGCGCTAATATGATACGCACTGATAAACGAAGGTCGGTGACATCTTCCCGGCACGTTTTTATACTACAGCTAGCGTACTCCTGCAGTCGCTTGGAGCAGTGGTAGCTTCTAGACGTGTCCGTTGATGGCGCCAAGGATGGAAGAGAACAAGTGACCAATCTTCCTCGTTCGCGCACGGGGGCATATCCTTCTAATGAACTTATGCGCGATGTCAACACCGTGAAAGTGCGGACGAGATATCCTCAGAAAAGCATTCGCCGAGGACAATGGCGAGGGCCTCTTCGACAGTTGATAGAGATAGCGCAAAGGCGCGGCGTCCTGCCAAATAGCGAGAATATAGTGCGCACGAGCTTTCCGATGTCCGAAGGGTACAGTCAAGGTTTAGGGACGCAGAAGCGGTGTCGGTTACGGCAAATGTGGCGTCGGAAGGCTAGGAGTGTTTATCAGACCCTGTAATGCAGCATCACGGTTCCAGTACAAGTGAACAGATGATAAAGAGGACGTGGGATGATATACGCACAGGTGCGAAACTCCCGTCGTACGCGTCGCCCAACTCCTCATGCCCGCAGGGTCAGACAGAGGGCCAATCAGACACCATCAGACCTTTAGAGAAGCTGTGATAAATGTTTGCTGTGCTCATGCCGGTATGCTGTATACAGTTGACAAGCGGGACGGACGATGATGGTTCGAGGCAAGTTTGATAGCGCCGTGCACGTGCGAAGGTGGCGCGCGTTGATCCTTGCCTTCCGCCGCCAGTCGTCCTCGCCCAGTACTTTTGCTGAGAGCTACGGACAAGGGTTGTGCTACCCACCGTACTTACGTGACATAATCTCGGTCTAATTTGGGGTCGCGCTATATGCGAAGTTGCGAATGCTTCTCCGGCGAACTCCGAGTTGTTGGCAGCAGCTGCGCTCAATCCGCGCTTTCGCCTGGACATGGCACCAGTGCTTTACCGTACGCGTGAATGCGCTGTCACGCTCTCATCAAGGGCAACGGCCTTGCGCCAGGCAAATAGAAGAACTCTTGCCTCTCGAATCCCCATTAGTGGCCTACACTCTCCCCTCTCGTTCTCAGCAAGCACCGCATGTTCCCCATCACCTGCAACGCGATTGGCGACATTATTGCTGTCGTCCAGCTCATCCGTGACATTGCCGTAGCGCTCAATGATGTGCGCGGAGCCGCAGAAGAGTATAGACAGTTTACTCGCGTCCTCACGGCCCTCGGTACCGTCATGGCTGAGGTCTATGGGCTCACCCTCGCTTCGCACAACGAGACTCTGAAGCAGGCTGTACTCGAAGAGGTCCAACTTTGCTGTGCCGATATCAATAATGCGCACAACAGCATCTCCGGCTTCGAAGTCCTCGAGGAGACCTCACTGGGCCACAAACGCAACGCTACTCAACGTGCTCTCAAGAAGATTCAGTGGCACCTTTTGCGAGCTTCCGACGTGGCCAAATATGCTCAACGCTTCGGAGAGAGCCATGAAAGGCTCAACTCTTTTGTCTCCTTACTCGGACAGTACGTGTGCAACTACGATTGGTGACTGCACCGCTGACGTAACTTTACAGTCAATCAACCTCTCATCTCCTAGATGAGCAGTGTTCTGACATAGTAGCAGTACATCGTCATCACCTACAGCTCGCGCAAGATCAACGCCGCGCGCTTCGCGAGTCCGTCGAGGAGATCAAGGCCGCTGCGCTGTGAGTGCACTATGATTACGCTCGTGCCGTGCGATGGGGTCTCACGATGTGCAGCCTCGCCCTACGGGAGTCGGCGGTGCAATCGCGCCAGCACATAATCGAGCAAACCCTCTCCCGCCCGTTCTTTGCTGCGCCTGACGACAGACGAGTTGCGTCTCGCGTTCAACGCGTCGCCGACCTGATCTTCGACTCCCTCGCCCCTGACACTCCACGCGATCAACGCGACCGATTTCTGTCGCTGCTAGCCCCATTCCTTGTTGCAGGCGCCGCGTTCGTGGTTCACAGTAACGTGGGCTCGCAATGGCGGACTACGGGCCTCTGGTCCGCTATCTGCGCTCTCGTTGTACAAGTACTTTGGCTCCAGTCGTCCACGCCAATGCACCCAGGCTTTACTCACGGGAATGGTGTATTCCTGATCGGACTACTCGGAGAGGAGATCACTGTGCCGAACCACTTCTGCTCTTCGTACGAGGTGTGCCAAACATCTTCTCGCCGCGCGTCCATCACTAACGCGTTGGCCACAGTACTTTCACGAGTTCTTGAAGCTCTTTTACTCGAAGATATCAGGAGCGGTCAACTTTGTGCCTTACAAGCGCTATGAGCTGTTCCAGACCGGAACGTCGCGCCTCATCTCAGCGAGTAACTGGGCGGCTTGTATGCAACCCGGTATCTGCATGGAGATGGGCTTATTGGACATATCGCACCTCCGAGGCGACGTTTTCTACTGTCCTTACTGTTACTGCAAGTACAATACTCGCCTGATATCGAACGAGATAGTCTGGTGAGTCTCAATACTTATACTGCGATACCGTACCGCTGAAAACCGTGGCTCAGTAACGGCTGCTCAAGGAGGTTCCACCAGACTCTACAAGACTTTGAGGTTCTCAAAGTGGCTTGCATGAACGCAGCAGCCACCATTATAGCAAGGCAAGTGAGATGTGCCATCCAATCTTCCGCAGACTGACTTATACTTGCATTTAAGACGCCATGACACGGATTGGAACTCAGCTCTCTTCCAGATGGATGCGCCAATAACTGCCTCGACGACAACAGCCCAGCATACTGATTATGTCAATCTCGATGGGGCTATATCGTTCGCACGCATATGTCACCGCGTTCATGTTGCCAACTTCCGGCCCATATTCGTATGTTCTCATGTTCGCATGTATATGTTGGCGTTTCAAGCTGACCACCAGACTTAGGATTGTAAGTAATCAAGTTTCTCGGGCGTAAGCTATTCGATCGACGGATTATGATTCGTATCACAGACACATCGGACCAGCTGCAATCGGCATCACAGCAGGTCGTGGACGCTCTGCTCTCCGATCAGACCATATTTCCAAGGTCAACTCTCGTTTATGAACTATTCCGGGCGCACATTCGGTCGCCCCATCACGCGAATCCCAAGTTACCCGTGAGCCCTTGGTACATTTGACATGACGCCACGCTCATTGTCTGATATACGATACAGGCTTACAAGCACAATCTACGATCTGTCATGTCTGTATACAAGACCGCTTTGGCAGAACTCGAACATGGCGCAGCGATCGGTGACACTCGTGACGGTACGGTATTCAACAAACCGATGACGGTCGTGGAGCAGTAGGTCCCACGATATGACCACTTGCTCTCTTGCTGACGCTTCGTGCACCCGTCAGATTGCTCGTAGAAATGGTTTCAGCACTGGACATCTTTGTTAATGAGCCATCTGAAGAGAACATCCGTCGATGGGAGGACATACTGAGGGACTACTCAGATGAGTACCTATCCCTCGACGAGCGGACTGAGCTTCAGGAGATCGTGAATGATCATCAGCACCTCAGCCGCAACCTCCGAAGAGGCTTTGGCTTCGCATGAGAATCGCCCCGGTAGTACCTGTGTAACTTTGAGCCCATCGTGTACCTCAGAATTGAAGCCGCTCTCAGCCTAGAAAGGCGCCCGAGTTGGAGACGTGCAACTGCATCGTTGTCTGGTAGACTACATGAGCCATCGTGATGGATACAAGCGAGCACCGGAACGTCCACAAGCAATAATATCATTCTCTTCAGCACTTTCGCGGGAGTACGGAAGCTATTGATCATGGCAAGATGCAAACAAGCACAAAACAGACCGTGAACAGTACCCTATACTGTTCAAGGCACCAAATAGATAAAATCGACAGACACATGTGCGACTCCGTTTTGCCCATCCCATCCCAATGCACACATACCACACACCAGCTTCAGTACCTCCGCGCTCTTGAACCCTTGCCGCCTGCCCCACCCTTCGTAACTCTCATCTTTGCTAACCCCGGCGCAGTCCACAACAGGAACATAGCAGTCGCCACCGCCGCTGGTTCACGAGGCGTCGTGAGAGCTGTTGAAAGATGTTTAGGCTATGTACGGGGATCGTTCCGACTGCTTCGCGCGGGCGTGCTGTGAGGCGAACGTGAGTATGATGCAGAAGCAGTGCAATTGCAAGGAGTGGATGAGAAACGTACCGTTGTTCTGTGCATTGGGTGACGTGAAGGGGTGCAGGCTTACTATCCTCGCGCCCTCGGGCAGATCAAGGATTCCGCTCTTGTGCGCCGTATTGACTGCGCAAACCAGCATCAATCAGCACCCCTCGAGACTTCTCTCTGTGACTGAGTTGAACTTACAGCTTCAGCAGAATACCTTGCTGTTAGAAGCGATCACGTCCGCTCGCCTCGTCGCCTCATCAACATTAGGCAAAGCGAGCACATCGTCCTACTCGAAAGACATTCGTCCGCGCTTGATGCTTGACGCCCCATGCTGCTGGTTGTCCACGCGCTAGTGCGAGCTGTCGACTTCGTGTAGGCGCCAGATCAGCGTGTATAACACCGCAAATCAGCGACAGAAATGTACCTGTCTCATGCCGATTCCGCAGCGTGCTTCTGAAGTCAGCGCCATACGTCTCGCAACCTGTTGCGAGCGAGGCTCCAATGAGCACGTAGCCGACTTCTGCGCCGATGTCCACATGTACGTTGTTCAGATCATGCTTTGTCTCTTTGGCAATCCTGAGCGCTTGCATGTCAGACACGAGGAACGATCGTAGTGTAACACGGGTTTTGACACGCACCAAGGAACGAAGGGCGGTAATATTCTTGCTACTTAAGAGAGCGTTCGCTGAGAGTAGTAGTTGAGGCCACGTCGATAGATATTATGCAACTGCGCACAGGCCTCCGGGTCCTTCCAGAGTAACGAGAATGTAGTGCGAGCGCGCGTTCCAGAGGAGAATTCTATATTTGGGGGGGGGGGGGG